GCAAATGTATTTGGCTAATATGACAGTAAGTTTATCGAAATAGATGTTAAATTAGATAATAGGTTTTTTTTTTGAAATCCGTCCAAGTGAAAACGAGCCTTGCACGGTTTGTTGTTGTTTATTATGTAATTGTAAAGTTTTAGGAAAATTGAGTAAGGTAGACTGGGGCAAATGTAAAAATGGGGTAAATGTAAGATTTTTACCTATTATGTTAATGTTTTTTTTTATTATTTTTATAGTTCTTTTGTTCATTAGACATGGTTTGTTTCTTATTTTTTCTTTATTATTTTGTAGGTCTGTTATTTTTTGAAATAGATAAATAAACAGCATATCAAATTTTAGAGGAACCAAATACAGTGTGTCCACGGATGGGGTTGCCTATAGGAGAAAAATTTTTATTATTCATTTTACGACAAAAAGTCATTGTTTATAAAAATTTTTGCTTCTTTTAAAAATGAGAATAACACTGAAAAATCTTAGATTGGATCTACAGGGTGTTGTCAAATTAAGAAAACATGAAAATACCTCAAGAGGGAAGTAGCATTATTTTTTATTTTACACAAAAATTTTATGAAAGAAAGTTGTTTATAATCTAAAATAAAGCCTTAATACAAATTTTCAAATTAAAATTCCAATTTTGTGTGTCCACGGATGGAGTTGTCCAGAGGAGAAAATGATAATTTTACGAAAAAAAAGTAATTCTTTATAAAAAAAGAGCATTAAAAGAGAGATTAAAGGCATTTTTTTGTAAATAATAATGTAATATAATAAATAAATTCTTTCTTTATGTAAGATAATAAAATTACTTTCGTTCTTTCTTAAATTTTTTCTAGGGAAGCACTATTATTTTTTATTTTACACAAAATTTTTATGAATGAAAGTTGTTTATAATCTAAAACAAAGCCTGAATACAAATTTGCAAACTTAAATTCAAATTTTGTGTGACCCTAAATAATGTTGACTAGATAAGAAAAATGGTTATTATTAATTTTACGACGAAAAGCCATTCTTTATAAAAAAATTAACTTGTCGAGAAAATGAAATTCACATATCAAAACATTAAATAAGACGTATTAGGGTGTTAGTAAATTGAGAAACAGGAAAAAATGTCAAGAAAGAACGAAAGAATTTTTATTATATTACATAAAGAAAGAATTTATTTATTATCTTACATTATTATTTTCAAAAAAATGCTTTTAATCTCTCTTTTAATGATCTTTTTTATAAAGAATTCCTAAACTAAAGAATCGAGTTGTTAAAAAGTTTTTTTGAAAAAGGAAGAAAACGATTTTACATATTTTTTAAAATGTTGACAATATGTTACATTTACCCCGTACCATGGGGTAAATGTAACAAACGATTTTAAAGTGCAATACAATTATACAGGGTGTCTACTATAAAGACCGCCAAACTTCAGGAGGTGATTATACAAGTAATTTTGAACAAAAAATGACCTATAACACTTTTTCGATAGTTTCGATAGTTTCGATAGTTTCTCTTTTATTTAACATTTCATTATTTTAAATTTTTTTTCAAAAAATCAGTCAGTTTCAAAACGGCCCTAAACAGACGGCCGTTAAATAATCCCAACCACACATTCATTCTAAAATCGTGCTGAAAATGTTATATTAAAGTAGCATGAGGGTTTTCCGGCTACACTTTTAAAGACCTGCATCTTCCTGTAAAACGCTTATGAAAGATTTTAAGGCAAATTAAGGCATTTTCTTCGCATTTCTTTATTTTTTTTAATCACTAAATAATTTTTTGTAGATTTTTATTTTCGGGATATTCCTGTTTGAACAACTTTGTATTTTATAACGCATATACCTTTAAAATTTCTACAAAAAAAATGTTACTCAATATCTGAGTAAAATCTAAAATCAAAAAATAAAAACTAAAATCAAAAGTTTATTAAATACAGTAGTTTTTACTAAAAAAAAAACTTATGAATTTTAAAAAATTTTTGGCTTTACGACCATTAAAAGATACATATAATTTTATTCATTTCATATTCATAAGAATTAAATCTTTTATAACACCCGGTATTGATTTTTTTAACTTTGATAAATACTTTTTTTATAGCAAATTTAATACACTTTTACGGTATATGATCAAAATTAATATGACTATACGAATAAATGTGATATTTCGGTCTTTTTGGAAAAAAACCAAAAAAAAATTAAAATAATGAAATGTTAAATAAAAGAGAAACTATCGACTTTTCGAAAAAGTGTTATAGGACATTTTTTGTTCAAAATTATTTGTATAGTCACCTCCTGAAGTTTGGCGGTCTTTATAGTAGACACTCTGTATAATTGTATTGCACTTTAGAACCGTTTGTTACATTTACCCCTTACCATGGGGTAAATGTAACATATTGTCAACATTTTAAAAAATATGTAAAATCGTTTTCTTCCTTTTTCAAAAAAACTTTTTAACAACTCGATTCTTTAGTTTAGGAAGTTGTGAATTTAATGTGGTATCAGCATTTCTAATAAGAGAAAAAATAAAGTTACAATTTAGGATTTACTTTGAACTATTCAAATTTTACAACCGATTTGCTCCAGTCTACCTTAATTAAATGTTCAATTAATGCATTTTAATTTCTGTTAGCTACATAATTTTTGTTGCATTTATCAACTTTTTTAGTGTTACAATTCAGTGGAAATACTTCTTTTACGGAATTCAATATTATTGCAATATTGGGAGAAATTTAAGAATCAAGTCTTTTTTGCATGGTACATACTAGCTTAAAAACTATAAATAAATAAATGCATTAAATAAACACCCTGTAAATTTATAATCAAATTTATAATCAAAATGAACCCGTAAATTACTATTAACTTTTATCGGAATTTATAGTTTCCCAACCCCTACAATTTCTATTTATCACTGGATTAATTAGGACGCTTTTATTCAAGAAAAAAATGTCCGTTTTTCTTACATAACACATTTGAACCGAAACGAATCGATAAACTAGCGCAGTTGCACTTTTCTATACCGAGTGAGTTCTTTCGAAAGAGCCCGCTTGGGGCTCACACGGCGTTTCCGCAATTTCCCTGTAAACTTGTGTTCAAACCCTTTCAGAAACGAATTTGTGGAAATGGTCGATAAAATTATTTATCGATTCTGTTAAGAACGGGGTGTTTGTTTATTCGAATAGAAAAAATGTTCAGTCGATTTTCGTCGCTCGTACGATGACTATCATTACATCGAGACAGGTAAACTATATAATTCGATTAAAACCTAATTTATCTATCTAGAGATATGCACATTTTATCTTTGCTATACAATCTTTTATTTTGTCAAATTTTGACCCATTTCCAAAAAATTAAGCAATATGCAGTGTGTGTCACGACGAGGGCCCATTAGAAGTATCTGGAAAAGTAGTGGTAATTAAAATTTGAAAATTTGTGTACAAGTATTAGTCGATGCGCTCTATTCAATGAAAATATTTTCAACTTTTTTTTACTTCCGGTTATACCGGAAGTGGACAGCAAATTTGTTATTTTAAATGGGACACCCCATATATTAATATATTTTCGAAATGTACGCAAAATTTTAGAGTGCTTTTGTCTAAAAAACTTTTTTCAAAAATGCCTACTTTTTGAGTTACTATTTTTTTTTTGAAAAATTTGACCTCTGCAGACCCTTATAAATTATTTTTTTACGGGGATCCCTTTAAAGATATAAAAACGGTTTCTGTAGGGTGGCCACAAGCAAGGCCAAAGGTATTTGAATATGTGTTAAAAAACTTTTTATTTTATACAGGGTGTATACAAAACGTGTGAAAAGTTGAACTTCAAAAATACCAAATTATTTCATTTTTTTTAAATAGAACCACCCATTTTTTTCTATTTTGTTGAAATCAGCGATAAAAAATAAGGACAGTCCATGTTTACTTCCCTATACCTAAACCTAATAGTTTTGAAGATATTGAATATCTAACATAAAACTTACTTTTCTGCCTCATTCTTAAATAACTTTGTTTTACAAGTTGGCTTTGTAATATCTCACAAGTAACAAAATTAATAATCAATTAATTACAAACAATTTACATAGCCAACTTATAAAAACGGATTATTTAAGAATAAGGCAGAAAAGTAAGTTTTAAGTAAAATTTTTAATTTCATCAAACCTATTAGGTTTAGGTATAGGGAAGTAAACATGAACTTTCCTTATTTTTTATCGCTGATTTCAACAAAATAGAAAAAAATGGGTGGTTCCATTTAAAAAAATGAAATAATTTGGTATTTTTGAAGTTCAACTTTTCACATGTTTTGTATACACCCTGTATAAAATAAAATGTTTTTTAACACAGATTCAAATACCTCTGACCTTTCTAGTAGCCACCCTACAGAAACCGTTTTCATATCTTTAAAGGGATCCCCGTAAAAAATAATTTATAAGGGTCTGCATCGGCCAAATTTTTCAAAAAAAAATTAGTAACTCAAAAAGTATGCATTTTTGAAAAAAGTTTTTTAGACAAAAGCACATTTTGCGTACATTTCGAAAATATATTAATATATGGGGTATCCCATTTAAAATAACAAAGTTGCTGTAACAAAGTAAAGTTGAAAATATTTTCATTGACTAGAGCGCATCGACTAATATTTGTACAATAATTTTCAAATTTTAATTACCACTACTTTTCCAGATACTTCTAATGGGCCCTCGTCGTGACACACACTGTATAATTCGATTAAAACCTAATCTATCTATCTAGAGATATGCACATTTTATCTTTCCTATACAATCTTTTATTTTGTCAAATTTTGACCCATTTCCAAAAAATTAAGCAATATATAATTCACGCGTAAGGTTAACGAGATTAATTTATTTGTCTCCATCATCGTCACAATAACGTTTGCCCGAATTAAACATCGAGTTTAATTACCTTTCTTACACCATCACAGTGTAGTAGATGTTACTAAAAGCGGTAATATTCGCGCGGTTAAAACTTTATTATTATTATTTTAATCCGTTTTAAAAATTTCCAGATAGACGAGCTCTACTCCGAGGTCTTGTACGAAATCCTCCACAACGTCGGCTGCGATTTGAGCTTCGAAATCGGCCAAACCTCGTTGTTTTCCTACGCCCAAGATGCTTTCAAAATATCCAACGACAAGCACAAACACCTCATGGAAGTGGCGGAGAAAAAGGAAGCGCCCGATCTCATGATTAACGTCGAGGTAACGTCTTGTTTTTTTCGAATTTCGAATTCACTTAAACCCATTAACTGTCTAATAATACCTTCGTGTTAGGTGATCGAAGCCAAAGAGTTGCATCCCAAAGATTCCAACGGTCTGAGCGATCCTTTCGTAACGCTGTACTTGGCTTCTAACGCGTCCAGGAAGTACAATTCGTCGGTGAAACCGATGACTTTGAATCCGACGTGGGAGGAACACTTTGCATTGTAAGCAGTGATGTTAAAATTACTTTATAATATGTAATTAATTACAATTACAATTACTTTTGGCAAATTGTAATTAAATGCAATTACAATTACAAAATTTGCGAATGTAATTACAATTACAATTAAAGTTACAATTACAATTACTTTGCTTTGGTGTCAGTTTTAAGTAATTATTTAGGGATTTGCAATCGGAATTAAACTTTCCACGTATTGAAAATATTAAATAAGTACTTTTGTGTCCAATGTAATTGAAATGTAATTGTAAAATTTAATTGTAATTGTAACGAAAGGAGTAATTGAATTACAAATGACTTTAAGTGACTTTACAAAAGTGTTAACTTTAGGTATAGGGAATGGTTAATAAGAATGAAAGTGCTTCAAAAATACTTCCTGTTAACGACATAAAATATAGGGTGATCCATTTAAATTAACAGAGAAAATGTTACTTTTGCGTTTGGATCCACCCTGTAAGCAGTATGATTAAAATTGACAAACAAAAAATATTCATTTTGTACATTTTCAGGATATTTGCAATGTTGTAAAACGTGAAATTTATTTTCAATTCAATCCATTAATTTCTACAGAGTGGTAAACTTTGTACGATTTTCGTGGAAAAGTGGTCATAACTTTTAAACCACTCAGTATAACGTTATACAAAATTATATTTTTGGAAAACTGAAATTAACTAATTTTAAAATGTGCAGTTTAAAAAGATCTACAACTTTTGTAATGACGTTTTTTAGATATCTTCTACAATAACAGATATATTGAGCTTTTCCATACTAATGTGCCACCCTGTATGTTATTGAGTCGAGATTTTATTCGAAACAAATTTAATGCATCTAAAAATTGATATTATTGTAAGAGGTAATTTGCTAAAAAAAAAGTTTTGATACAAATAAAATGCAAGCAAAACAATAATTTATTAAAATTAGTTATACAGGGTGTCCAGAAAATAGAAGTCAATAACTCGCGATCGTATAAATGACATCAAAATACGGGTATATCTTCATATAAATTTTGTTAATTTGAGCCCCCATTTTTGAGTTACAGACCTTTAAAGTTGATAATTTAAAACTTATATTTTTGTAGTTTTATTACTCGATAGAGTAACTATCAACTTTTTGAAAAAGTGATACATGACAATTTTTTGTTCGAAATTACTTGTATAATCACCTCCTGAAGTTTGGCGGTCTTTATAGTAGACACCCTGTACAGAATAATTTTTTGTAGATTTTTTTGTAATGAACTTTTGTAATGAAGTTTTTTTGATATCTTCTACAATAACAGATATATTGAGCTTTTCCATACTAATGTGCCAACCTGTATATTTTTTAGGCCGATACAAGAAAACGCCACCGACGACACTCTCTGTCTGGAAGTTTGGGATTTCGATCCCGCCGAATCGGTGAAGGAAAAATTGGGCAAAGTGTTCGACGTCAAAGGTCTCAAAGGCATGAGGAAATTGGTGAAGGAAATCGCCGTCACCGCCACAACGGGTCAACACGAAAACGAACTCATCGGAAGGGCTAATATTCCTTTAAATGTAAGTCGATTATTTCTACTTAACACCTACACCGTTGGAAATTTAATTTTGCATAATAGGGAAATCAATGTTAAATTCTTAGCCGGCTGAAATCCAATCTACCAGTATACATTTCAATAGAACGTCGCGATCAATTCTAATAAAATTTAACGTCTATTTCGACTTATTTTTTAACGATCTTTTCAAATCTGGCATTATTTTTTACGAACGTTATTTGGTAAAAAAGTTAGCTTGCTTTTGACACATTTGTACAGGAATCCCTATGTCACATCTTATAAATATTAGAAATTAAAAATTAGAAAATGTTTATTAGGTACCAAAATACACATTACAAATAATATATTTTGTATTGCCACAGAAGAAAATTCTTGTATGTGGCTCAAAAAAACAAAAAAAAATATAAAAACTAAATTGATGACCCTCAACTAAGGATGTAATGCTTTAAAACAAAGCAAACACTTTATTTATTTATTTCAATCCCACGCGCAGTACAGAATTTTTTTCTTTTTTTTTTGGTTTTTTTGGTCTAAAAAAATGTTAAATAGAAATATTTAAAATAAGACGAGCTTATTTGAGATATAATTTTATTTTTATTTAAATAAAAGCTCCGACAATTAAGTGTCAATTTTAATAACGCAAAATCTCGTTCGTAGGTAGAGCCTTTAAAATGATGCCATATTTTTATTCTTGACAAAAAAAAACAATAAAAAAACAAAAAATGCTAAAGAAAAAAGAAAAAAAAAATTCAGCACTGCGTGAGATTGAACCAGATTCCTCACCGCTGGATTTTTCAAACTTCAGAGCGTAAACCATTCCAGATAGCTCCGCCCCTTTTAACAATTATTAGATAGTGACATATGACGTTTGACTTTTTTCAACTTAATTATTCATTTTTTTATTAAACCAGAACGAATTTAAGCAAATTTAAAAAAGTTAGCTTGCTTTCGACACATTTGTACAGGAATCCCTATATCGCATCTTATAAATAACACAGTGTAAGTATCTACATCGTTTTACAGACAATTCCAGCATCCGGAATGACCATGTGGTACAGTTTGGACAAAAAGAACAAAATCACCCGACAAGGTGTCCTGAAAGTTCGCATATCGTTCAGCTCCGAAAAGAACAATCAAGTAGCCGAACAAGAGTACCGGCATCTCTTGAGAATAATCCTCCTGCACGAGCTCGAAATGTCCAAGGTGGCGCCCAACTGGTGGTTCGGCACGTTCAGCCCTCAAGGCGCCCAATTGCTCACCCAGCACATCGCCCAATCCGGCCTGACGCCCGTCGAAGTGGCCGTTTGCCAGTACTGCGTGTTCGCCTTCATCCATCAGAATCACGCCCTGAGCCTGACGCTGTTCTCGAATCTGCTCGACAGGCTCTCCAAACCCATCCAAATGGGCGTCGTTTGCGACGAAGACGTGAAACTGTTCTGGGACGCCACCAAGAAGCTCCTGCCGTCGTGCTTCGGCGTCATCAGGAAGATCCGCAGGAAAAACATCAACGAAAAGACCAAAATGAAGCAAGTCACCGATGTAATTGATGTTAATATCAGTCGGAAGTTGTTTCTAGTTGTTCGATTGTAGGTACTAAAAATCTTGAATCACATCCATACGCTGGATCCGCCGACGAACATCGATTTGTTCCCGAGGGCGGCGTATCCTTGGATCACTAACAGGATCGATGATGAGTCGAATTGTAATGTTCCATCTGCTTTGAATGATGCAGTAACGAAAGGGGCTGTGGATTGGTTGAATCACATTTTGGAGAACAACAAAAGGCCCGACGAAAGCGACTTTGCCAGATTGCAGAATTTCATACAAATCATTCATTTGATCAGAAGCGACCTGCAGAAGGCCATAGAGTTTTACGATAAACTATTCCAAGAGTAAGTATCGCATTGTTTACTAAAGGAGATTCGCGCGAGGTAGGCGATGACGTCACGAGGCAAGCTGTTGCAACGTTGCCGGGTTGACATGGAAATCTTGATGTGACAGATGTATTTAATTTAAGGTTATGTTTACTTTTATTGTTAGAAATTAAAAAGAAGAAATGCATTAGGTTGCAATCCGATTTACGGGAGAGGTGTTTATTTGCAACGCTTCACAACCCTATAAAACACAAATACAGGGCTTTTCACGGTAACCGTCCATTAGAAGTATCTCAATAATGAAAAGACTTAAAAATTTGAAATTTTGGTTATAGTATTTTTTGGATATTATGAATTGATCTAAAATATTTTCATTTTGATTACACTTCCGGTTATACCGGAAGTTGACACCAACTTCGTTATTTTATATGGAAAGTGCCATTTTTAACTTCATTTTTGAATTCTATGGCCTTTTTTAACCAGACTTTGATAATAACACCGTATGCCAAAAATGCACCATTTTTAAGATATTACATTTTTTTTCGATATTTTTTGGAAAAACAGTCGAATGTTTTTTCTGTCATATCTCTCTTAATAATGCAGCTAGAAGCTTGAAATTGAGTATCGATGATGTTCAGACATACTACTAAATGAAACTAAACTGTATTTTCAGAGTCCATGTACAGGGCGTTTAAAATTGTCTGACAAACTTAGCCAAATTAAAGTGGTCATAACTTTATTATTTCAAATGGACCACCCTGTATTTTTTAACAGTGACCAATGCTGTTTTTTAAGCCCTTTCGATCCATATGGGTATTCCCCATACTCAAATCCAAAAATTTAATAATAATCGAAGTTTTATTAAATAAGGTATGAATTTTCTTTTTTTTTGAGTTATCAAGTTGGCCATTTGATGACCTTATGTCAATGCGACATTTATGTATTTTTGAAAAATTCTACGCTAAATTTAAGAGTACTTTTGTATAAAACATTTTTTCAAAAAATGCATACTTTTTAAGATTTTTTTTGTGAAAAAAATGACAGTTGCGGACCCTTACAAATTATCTTTTTACGAGTAAACCCTTAAAGTTAATGAACTACCATTGTGCAACTACCATTAAGGTTAAAGGTAATTAAATCGGTTTATAAAATACTTTCTATTGCATATAAAATGTACGAACAGTTAAGATTCAAAAATATCAAATTTCTTTATTTTTTCAAATGGATCACCCTGTATATTTTCATATTTTTGAAATCTACAGACTTTTTTAAGGTAACTTTGTACAAAAAGTTCTATTTCTATGTTTCACGATTCTCGAGTTATTTAAACAAAAAATAGACTAATATCTGCGATTTAATAATTGACAAATAAATTTAATTATCTGTTTGTCTTTGTCTTTGAAGTCTTTGAAACGAACAATTAGTTATTAAAAATTTAAAAAAATATGTGATTTTGAAAACTAATGGCAATTGAAAATAAGTAAAAGATAAATTTGAAACAGTAAATACATAACAATAAGTAAACAATAATGCGCCGTATAAAAGTAATAAATTAAAAAAATCTTGATTGTTACCCAACATTGACATTTTTGCTATAATTTCAAGAACTGATTTCATTTGTCGGATTAACATAGGGCCATCAAATGGCCTACTAGATAACTCAAAAAAAAAAGAAAATTCATTCCTTATTTAATTTCTAAACAATGAAAGTAAACACAACCTTAAATTAAATATATCCGTCACATCAAGATTTCCATGTCAACCCGGCAACGTTGCAACAGCTTAGCTCGTGACGTCACCGCCTACCTCGCGCGAATGTCCTTTACGCGAAGGTTCGATCGTAATCCGTTGTGTTTTCATTCAAGGACTGTAAATTTCCAATATGCCAAAGCTTTGTACGTGTTCTACCAAGAAAAAGTAACATCCCTGTGCGAACCAGAAGTCAGAGATATATGCAGAAATCTCAAGAAGATCCAATACGAGAGTACCGACGGCGAGAACGCGGAGGATCCCCTTTGCGACGGTACCTCGCTGTTCGAATTGTACCTGGCAGTGCAGAAATTCGCCACGCTCGGCGCCGGATTGTGCCCGGCGGACTGTGATAACTTCCAAATTAGGAATTTCCACGAATGGTTCCACGGCGGCGTCGCCCAATGGCTGGACATCGCCGTTTACAAGGCCCTGCAGAGGATCGAAAAGGCCGTGGAACTGGACCGATTGACTCATGTGGATAATACGGTGAAATACAGTTCGTCGGCGGTCGATACGCTGACGATATTCTATCAGGTGAAAGTGTTTTGGCAACAATTGAACTGGCCGGACGTGGAGAGTTGTTACTCGTTCATAGCGAAGATTATCGACGTAAGTGTAAATGAATTATGCTCGATTGTACGACTTTTGCTTCAAATTTTTAGCTTAATTAACTTGCACTTAACTCCGGGTTTCACTTACCCATTTTAGGTATTGCACCACTGACGCTTATGTCCGATTTCACCAACATGTTGTTAGGTATTTCCTAACTAGGTAATTCCTAAGGTAGGAATTACTTGAATCGAGTACTTACCTAAATCGAATTTCACCAACATTAGAAATCCCTTACTAAGAAATACCTTGGTAAAAATTTGATTTCGACAATTTTTTTGAATTTTATTGGTAGCATTGGTTAATTTTGACGTGTAAACCGGATAAGCGGAGATCGTAATTAAATATGTTGAGAGAAAAGAAGAGATGTTGATGATCCGGGCCATCTTTAAACTGTTTGTTATTTTTAAATCTGCTGAAGATGTAGTCTGTAAATTAATATAAAAATAGCCTTTCCGATTTGTAAAATATTTCCGCATCTTCTCCTCCAGGACTATGGATCTTTACACGCATGTGTACGGTCAATAATTCCAAAAACTTCCTGTGTATCAAATTAAAAATCATCTTCAGTTTATTGTAATATTTGTAATACCGTATTTTTATATATCGAAAAAGGCGAAAAAAAATCAGTTTCGTCCAGTTTCTAAAAACTCTCCTCCCATTTTAAATTTTCATCTAAAGAATGTAAAGACAGTCAAGACTTAAGTCACATGAAATCACATGGAAAGTATGGTTAAGTATTTCCTAAATGTTTTAGGCAAGCCTAGTGAGCTGTCCTAACTTTAGGCATTTCCTATTACCTTTAGGTATTACTTAGCTCATGGTGAATCCCAAATTGTACTTAGGAATTCCTACATCCGATTTAGGTATTACCTAATTTTAGGAACTGGTTGGTGAAATCGGGCGTTAGAGTCAAAACTTAGTAAAACGCTACTTAGCTCTGGCAACATTGCCTAGATCTAGTTTTATTTTGGTGTTTAATGTTGGTCAGTCTGCAAATTGGCCAACTTAACTTCACATTACACATTCACATTGCAATATTCTGTGATTTTGAACGTTTGTAGAGTGTGACAAAAAAATCCCTCTTCGAAAAATGAAAGTAAAAAAGCGAGTTTAGAAGTCCTAACTATGGAATTTTACTAGAGAAGAAATAAACGTTATTTTGATACAATTATTTAATTCAAAAACATCTTAGAATGCAAGAAGTGGTGTTGGGATTTGTCAAATAGGACAACTGCCAACATGACTGATACAGTCAAGGGGAATTAGGTTGGTAAAGCTGCGGTAGTTAGTTGATAGTTGAGAGAATGATAACTTACAGGGTTGTTGTTAGAGTTTTAGTTTACGGTGGCAAATGTTTGTTGCATAGCAAATTATAAACACATTAATGTGTTTATAATTGCAATTACCGATAAACTCGAGCTCGCGCAGCGAGCTCGAATCGAATATGTAACTGTCTGCGGCGAAGCCGGGGGTGGAGCCCGAGCTGATAAGCTAATCCCATTTATAACATTGGTGCAATGAAATATCCGTCACCTAAAAGGTTAAGCTTTATACTTTATACAATTTAAGTGAAGGTCGTGCAATCGAAGCATTAATCGAACGAGCAGATAGGTTTAAACGGAAGAGTTGTTTTTTAGGATATCTGCAGGTGTTCGGTGTTCTACGCGGACAAAATGGCTGCCAAGGTGGAAGGTTTGGGCGACAGCCAGAACGTCTACGAGAAGAAATTCGAAATAACGAACGAATGGTGTTTGGCCATCAACAACATCGATTACGTTAGAGAAACTTTGGAACCGTTCACCAACGATTTGGGCATGACTGAAGTTATACAAAAAATCTGTGATATGAAAAGCCCCGTCGACGCCCAACGATGTCAACAGACCTTGGAGAACGTCATCGCCAATGCCATTGATACTGTTAGGAATAAAATTATCGAATTATTGGAAGTCGTAGTGTCGAAGGTATGATGTCTTATGGTCTTATTCAGTGATGTTAAAATTACTTTATAATATGTAATTAATTACAATTACTTTTGGCAAATTGTACTTAATTGCAATTACAATTACAAGTAAAGTTACAATTACAATTACAATCACAATTACTTTGCTTTGGTGTCAGTTTTAAATAATTATTTAAGGATTTGCAATCGGAATTAAACTTTCCACGTATTGAAAATATGAAATAAGTACTTTTGTGTCCAATGTAATTGAAATGTAATTGTAAAATGTAATTGTAATTGTAACGAAAGGAGTAATTGAATTACAAATGAATTACAATTGAGGAGCTTGTAATTAATTACCGCCTCAATTACAATAAAAGTAATTCAATTCTTTTTCAATTACTTGTAATTAATTACTTAACAACACTGGTCTTATTTAATAAGAGCTTTACCTTTTATCACTAATAATAATACTTAATAACACTATTTATGTAGCATATTAGCCCACAATATCTTAGTGGTAAGTTACAATGGAGTCTTAGGGACGATATTCTTCCAATCGTCATCTTCTTTAACTTTATGTATTCTATTCCTTAGTTTTCACAACCTTTTCTAAAATGAATAAAATAAAATTTATCAACATAATATACAGGGTGTTTGTAAACATCGTGTACATCCGAAAGGAGGTGATTCCTTGGCTTATTTTATGACTAAAAGTTCATATAAACGCTATTGTGTTTCCAATAAATGCTTCGTTGCCGATCTACAGGGTGTTGAAATTTCAATTTTTTTTTATTTTTTTCTTTGTAGCTCTTGCACTTTTTGAGATATTAAGCTCAAATTTTGAATCCAGATTGCTTTATAAGGCACACATTATTGGGTATATCAGATGGTTGTTGAATTCTACAGGGTGATATTTTTTCAGGGGTCATGTACCCTTTTTTCCGCCCGAACTTTTTTGCGGTGCGCCGCTGGTAGATTCTAAAATACAAAATTAATTGTCTGTTTTGTTTAGAAACTTTTTTTATTTTTAAACTTTTTTCGTTTCTGTGATCGTTATCGAGAAAAAAATTAAAAATGATTTTCTGTACAAATGATTTATTTTACAAAACAAAAACCCTAAATAATAATTATTAAAGTACATTATAATAAATGTTGAAAGTGACCCCCTCCTTTATTTTTTTTTTCTTTAATTTTCCGTTCTAGTTTTTTTTTAATTGGAATATCTCGAAAAGTTTTAACTTTAGGTATAGGGAATGGTTATTAAGAATTAAAGTACTTCCAAAATACTTTCTGTTAAAGATATAAAATATAGGGTGATCCATTTAAATTAACAGAGAAAATGTTACTTTTGCGTTTGGATCCACCCTGTAAGCAGTATGTTTAAAATTAACAAAAAATATTCATTTTGTACATTTTCAGGATATTTGCAATGTTGTAAAACGTGAAATTTATTTTAAATTCAACCCATTTATTTTCTACAGAGTGGTAAACTTAGTACGATTTTCGTGGAAAAGTGGTCATAACTTTTAAACCACTCAGTATAACGTTATAAAAAATTATATTTTTGGAAAGCTGAAAACGAGCCTTATTCAATTTTTAAATAAAAAAACAGGGTGTTCCATTTAAAAAAGTATAAGTTTGATCTATTACGGAAAAACGGGACACTCTGTATAAATGTTACTAATTTTAAAACATGTAGCTTAAAAAGATCTACAACTTTTGTAATGAAGTTTTTTTGATATCTTCTACAATAACAGACATATTGAGCTTTTCCATACTAATGTGCCACCCTGTATATCTAATTTGACCTAAATATCTCAAAAACTGCAGAAGCTCTAAAAAAGAAACAAAAAAAACTCGAAATTTCAACACCCTGTAGATCGGTAACGAAGCGTTTGCTGACCCAAGTTTATATAAACTTTTAGTCATAAAATAAGCCAAGGAATCACCCCCTTTCGGTTGTACACGATGTTTACGAACACCCTGTATTATTTGGTAGGTTTAGTACCGAATTCGTCGATTGCTATTAATCAGTGATGTTAAAATTACTTTATAATATGTTATTAATTACAATTACTTTTGGCAAATTGTAATTAATTGCAATTACAATTACAAAATTTGCGAATGTAATTACAATTAAAGTTACAATTACAATCATAATTACTTTGCTTTGGTGTCAGTTTTAAATAATTATTTAGGGATTTGCAATCGAAATTAAACTTTCCACGTATTGAAAATATGAAATAAGTACTTTTGTGTCCAATGTAATTGAAATGTAATTGTAAAATGTAATTGTAATTGTAACGAAAGGAGTAATTCAATTACAAATGAATTACAATTGAGGATCTTGTAATTAATTACCGCCTCAATTACAATAAAAGTAAATCAATTACTTTTTCAATTACTTGTAATTAATTATTGAGAATCTTGTAATTAATTACCGCCTCAATTACAATAAAAGTAATTCAATTACTTTTTCAATTACTTGTAATTAATTACTTAACAACACTGCTATTAATGTTGAACTATTTAAATTGTTTCAGATGGTACCGTCTATGAGAAGACTTCTCGTAGAGGGCGCTGAATTGTGCGAACAAGATTGCAACAGCATTGATAGACTGATGATGTATGTAGACAATAATTTGGGTACCTTGCATAGGGAATTAAACGAGGAAAACTTCAGTAGGACGTTATCGATCGTATGGGATACGCTGGCTCTTACTTTGAAAGAAATTATACAAACCAACGTGGATGTAAGTATTTTATTTCTACCGGGTGTCCCACCAGAAGAGGTAACCGGCTGTATATCAGAAACTAATTGTCATAGAGACTTGCGGTAAAAAATCTTATGACTAAATTGGCAAAAAGAAAATGCTGGAAATACTTTTTAAGTCTCTAAAATGGCCGCCTAGGGGGAGTAACCGCCATCTTGATTTTGAAAAGTCGTTTTTTTTTTCGAAATTTTCCTTAATAAAGGTATCAGAAATTTATTTTATTTTGATATTTGGGATAATTGCGATTCTTTTTGTTTTATATTTTTGACTCTATCTTGTAAAATAAAAGTGGTGGGGGTTGTTTGAATATTGCGACAAATAAATGTTAATAATTTTTAAACGGCTGAATAATACGGATTTTCATAAAAATAAAATCGTTGAAAAGGGCTTTCTTCGGTCTATAATTTACACTATATAAGACATTATTGCAAATACTTGCTTGGCCGCAAGAGGGCGTTTTCCGACATCACTTTAAAAAATACCGATTTTCTCAAAAAATTTAAATGCAACGATATAACTTTTTCTTTGGAGAAATATAGTCAAATAATTGCCAAACAAGCCTGTGAAAACCGCATCTCCATATCTCATTCCTAACCTAAAATACATTTAAAAAAGAAAAAAATCTAGAAATTGGGTATATTTTTGGTACACTCCCATTATAAAAGTCTCTAATTAGCGTTATTCTACTTAGAACAGCAATCAATTTATTAATAATATTCAAGTATGATATTAGGAACACCAAGCTAAGTAATTATTTATTCAGTAATTATTGGATTTCACACTGTTTGAGAACTAAAAAATAAGCATGAAGGGGGAAAATAAAAATCGCTTTGGGTTAAAGGCAATGACAGTCGGTTAAAGGTACTTTTGCAGAACGGACATTCAATTTTTCAAAACAAAAATCACCGAAAAATTGTTACACAAAGAATACATTTTAATATGGTTTTACCTTTAACCGACTGTCATTGCCTTTAACCCAAGGCGTGCTTTTTTTTTTTTATTTTCCCCCTTCATGCTTATTTTTTAGTTCTAAAACCGTGTAAAATCCGATAATTACTGAATAAATAATTACTTAGCTTGGTGTTCCTAATATCATACTTGAATATTATTAATAAATTTATTGCTGTTCTAAATAGAATAACGCTAATTAGAGACTTTTATAATGGGAGTGTACCAAAAATATACCCAATTTCTAGGTATTTTTCTTTTTTTACGTATATTTTAGGTTAGGAAAGAGATATGGAGATGCGGTTTTCACAGGCTTGTTTGGCAATTATTTGACTATATTTCTCCAAAGAAAAAGTTATAACGTTGCATTTAAATTTATTGAGAAAATCGGTGTTTTCTGAGGTTATGTCGGAAAACGCCCTCTTGCGGCCAAGCAAGTATTTGCAATAATGTCTAATATAGTGTAAATTATAGATCGAGGAAAGCCCTTTTCAACGATTTCATGTTTATGAAAATCCGTTCAGGGGTTTTGAAGTTATTAACGTTTATTTGTAAACATATTCAACCTTCCTCCACCACTTTATTTTAAAAGTTAGAGTCAAAAATATAAAACAAAAAAGAATCGCAATTATCCCAAATATCAAAATAAAATAAATTTCTGATACCTTTATTAAGGAAAATTTCGAAAAAAAAACAACTTTTCAAAATCAAGATGGCGGATACTCCCCCTAGCGACCATTTTAGAGACTTAAAAAGTATTTCCAGAATTTTCTTTTTGCCAATTTATTCATAAGATTTTTTACCGCAAGTCTCTATGACAATTAGTTTCTGATATACAGCCGGTTACCTCTTCTGGTGGGACACCCGGTACGTTTATTGTTATTAGAATAACATTATTTTGTTCTAATTGTAGAAAAGAAGGCCTCCTTCGTTTTTCGCTAATCTCCGTAAAACTTTAAATTTAATGATGGGTTCCTTTAAAAACCCCAACGAATACGATAGCTGCGATGTGTTATCGAAAACCGAGCAATTGCTTCGGATACACGGAATGGAAACCGGGGATTTAATACACGAGGTAAACCAATAAAGTCGACCGCTCACGGAGCAACTGTTTTGAAATAAATATTGTAAACCAGTTGATCTTGCAACTATTTTGCAACATCGGTAATGTACAGGGTGGCCAATTAAGATTGCGAGGTACTGTATCTGGGAAACTATGCATTGTAGAGGATTGTGGTAAAGAAAGTTATTACTAAAAACGGCCAAGAGAAAAACCTGGAAAATATACTGCTCCACAAAAGTTAAGGAAGCTGACAAATATTGAGATTAATTTAAAAGTTGCAGGTTTTTTGATCGCCAAATTTAGTGTAAATTGTAGAGGTAGGGGCAAAAAATACACTTAGATATGAGAGAAAACATTTAATTTCGCATAAATGAAAATTTGGTGATCAAAAAGTCTGTAACTTTTAAAATAATCGCAAAATTTGCGAACTTCCTTAACTTTTGTGGAGCAGTTTATTTCTCAAATGGCCGCTAGGGGGTGTAACTGCAATGTTGAAACTAAAAAAGTGATATTTCTATGAATTCCGCTATATTAACCTAACAAATAAACACCAGATCTTTAAAGTCGAGTATAATATGAACCTTTTTTGTTTAACAATTTTTGCTGTATCTCTAAAAATAATGTGGTGAGTGTTATTCAAATGTTTCCCTAAAAAACACCCTGTATCTTCGAAACGGCTGAACCGATTTGAACAAACTTGGGCTAGTTGAAAAGAGCTATTCTTGGGTTACAAAAGTTATAATATTTAAAGTTTTGTTAGATTCACTTGTTGCTAGTAGAGCTCTTTTTTCGACATTCCGGCAGAAATGGTTAATTTTCTCAAAAAAATTAAATGCATTGGTATGATTTTTTTTCCATGAATAATTAGCTAAATTATGCATAAACAAGCTACCGAAAACCGCATCTCGATATCTTGTTCCTAATATAAAATTTAGGCCAAAGAAAATTTTATACGGAAATTCCTTAAATTTTTATTTTTTTTAAACTAATTTTTCTAGATTTCTTTTTTTTCATCAAAAATTAAACACCTTTTTTGAAAATATTGAAATTTATTAAAGAAGACAAATAATAGAAGCAGGACGCGAGAAAAGAATTGCCTATTCAAAACCTAATTACCGTTTTTTTTTGGAACTTGTTTTTGCAGTTGGATGGTTGCCCAGCACATTATTGTGCTAGATTTGTTATTATTTGTCTTCTTCAATATATTTCAATATTTTCAAAAAAGGTGTTTAATTTTTGATGAAAAAAAAAAAGAAATCTAGAAAAATTAGTTAAAAAATAAAAATTTAAGTAATTTCCGTATAAAATTTTCTTTGGCCTAAATTTTATAATAGGAACAAGATATCGAGATGCGGTTTTCGGTAGCTTGTTTATGCATTATTTAGCTAATTATTCATGGAAAAAAATCACATCAATGCATTTAATTTTTTTGAGTAAATTAACCATTTCTGTCGGAATGTCGAAAAAAGCGCTCTACTAGCAACAAGTGAATCTAACAAAACTTTAAATATTATAACTTTTGTAACCCAAGAATAGCTCTTTTCAACTAGCCCAAGTTTGTTCAAATCGGCTCAGCCGTTTCGAAGATACAGGGTGTTTTTCAGGGAAAAATTTAAATAACACTCACCACTTTATTTTTAGAGATACAGCAAAAATTGTTAAACAAAAAAGGTTCATATTATACTCGACTTTAAATATCTGGTATTTTTTGATAGGTTTAATACAGCGGAATTCATAGAAATATCACTTTTTTAGTTTCAATATTGCAGTTACACCTCCTAACGGCCATTTGAGAAATATTTTCCAGGTTTTTCTCTTGGCCGTTTTAGTAACAACTTTTTTTACCACAATCCTCTACAATGCATAGTTTCCCAGATACAGTACCTCGCAATATTAATTGGCCACCCTGTATAGTAGTATGGAACCGCAAACAAGTCGATTCAAATGAAACTAGTTTGCAACGAGTCATAAACCAGTTGTACCCGACCATTTCCCGCTGTAGCAGTCGCTTTGCAGTTTCAAGTTGCTTTAAATTCTTGCCAATTTCTGGTGTGATTCATTCGACATTCGATAAATTACTATGGCAACTGATTGAAACTATTTCATAATAGTCGCATCCGAAGTTTAATATTAGTTGTAAACTTCTGTACTTACACGGATGCGACTATTATAAAATAGTTTCAATCAGTTGTCATAGTAATTTATCGAATGTCGAATGAATCACACCAGAAATTGGCAAGAATTTAAAGCAACTTGAAACTGCAAAGCGACTGCTACAGCGGGAAATGGTCGAGTACAACTGGTTTATGACTCGTTGCAAACTAGTTTCATTTGAATCGACTTGTGTGCGGTTCCACACTACTGTACATTGCCGATGTTGCAAAATAGTTGCAAGATCAACTGGTTTACAATTTTTATTTCAAAACAGTTGTTCCGTGAGCGGTGTGCCTAACAATTATACATTTTTGCAATTTAACTAAACACAATATTACAATTGTTGCAGGTGCATAAGAACATGCAAAAGAAATTCAAAGAGACCACCGAATCGCCATACGGAGAAATATCGGTGAGAGCAAAATTTCAAGATACAAGTTTAACAGTAGAAGTTATGAATGCTAGTAACCTGATGGCGATGGATTGGAATGGTTCTTGCGATTCTTTCGTTAGGATTCACCTTCTACCCGACCACAAATTCCTTTCCATCGAGAAGCCGAAGACTAAAACGCACAATAAGAACCAGTTTCCTCTGTACGATGAACAATTTACATTGTAAGTTTTACTCGATAATGAACAGCTTGAAGGGAAGATTTAATTTCCGATTAATTTCGTTTCAGTACTTTAACGTGCGACCAAAGGCAAATCGAAGACGGTTTAATTATGTTTAGCGTTAAAGATAAAGATTTATTAGGGTATAACAATCGGTATATTGGAGAGGCGTTTTTGGCATTTAGCGAAATTGAAGATACCATGCAGTATATAGGATGTTTACCTCAAACTCATTTGTTATTAGACAGAGCCTCCAATTCAAGTAATACATTTTTTGTAACTCAATTTATGTTATTTTAATTAATTTGTATAGTTTTAGCTTCTGAAGAAATGCGCGCTTTGGAGCAGAGGCAAGGAGACAAACTGGCCAAAGAATTTCTGAAGAAATTTAAACAGAGAATGGGGTCATGATCTTTAATGAATAGACTGTTGTCATTTAGATTTAGAAATTTGAAACGAGATAGAGTCGCGCCAGTTTTTTAATTCACGTCGTAACCTATAGGTTAAAAGTTTATCTCGTTGATGTTTTAACTACCTACTTAATAATATGTATAAATCGAATGAGTAGATGTATTTAGTCGCACAAATATTTTTATATAAAATATTCTTATTAAAATTTTATTAATATATCGTTGAATTTTTATTAAAATTATTTGTCCAGTTCAAATATACAGCTATACAAAAGTTAAGGAAGTTTACAAATATTGAGATTAATTTAAAATTTGCAGGTTTTTTGATCGCCAAATTTAGTGTGAATTGTAGAGGTAGGGGCAAAAAATCCACTTAGATATGAGAGAAAACATTTAATTTCGCATATTTGAAAATACTTTTAAAATAATCGCAAAATTTGCAAACTTCCTTAACTTTTGTGGATCAGTTTAATTTTAAGGTAGAAATAAAATATAACATTTTAGTAGATTTTATTTTTATTTATATCAATGACTAAAATCATGAATTTCATGAAAAATGCAATAAATGAAAGTAAAATATCATAAATGAAGAAAATAAGACGAAACATTAAAATTATACAATCACAAAATCAAGTAGTTTAATTATATTTGAGCTTAAATAAAATAATATATTCGTAATTTAAAAATAAATAATTTTTTAAAATGCAATAATTAAAAATCTCAATCTTATGCATTTCATCTCTAAGTTTTAAAATATTTATTTATCTAACTTTAAAAGAGTCTTATTTTATTTTGCACTCTCATGTAAAATAATCGAGCCAACTATTATTTATGTAATTTCTGGAGTAGCAATATAATCTATTTGTTTTCTATAAAACAGAAAATTCGTATAAAAAATTTAAAGGTTGCTCTTTTATTTTAATGCCGAGTGTGCTAATAAAAAATTACAACCTATCCAATAAGTTTTAAGGCACTTGTTAACAACACCTCAACTCGTTTAAAAAAATCATACTATAAAACACAATTTCCTTCTACAAAAACCTTGTAGACGTGACATTAGAAGTCTAAAGCTCAAATAAACTTAACAAATATCCTTAACACTAAACAATTTACTACAATGTCAGTTAATTTCATCTATATAATCAGTCTCCAATTTAGACTCAACGTTCTGTGAAATGTTCTTTTTATTACATCTAACTATTCCTTCTAATATATCATCGAAACTTAAAATAGCCTTCGTTCCTTCTTGCACTATCAAACTAGCATCCGACGTAGAAGGCGCGATAATATTACTCAAATCATCATCATCATCATCACTTAAAACATCCACATCGCAATTTAATTTCTCCAATTCATACATACATATGTAATTTTCACTACTCGCTTCGTCCTGCTCCAATTTCTCCTTCTTCTTCACGTAAGTCTTTTGTACTTTCAATCCCATTTGCTCCAAACGAATTATCGCGGATTTTTCGAAATAATCCAAATTCACCACGTGCGTTTGCAACGAGTGATTCTCGTCCTTCACCAAATTCCTCACTTTATGTCGAATATTCTCCAAACCAGCCGATCCTTGTTCTTCGATCGATCCATCTTTGCAAGACTGCAACTTCGGATCATCACTATCTCTAATCACATGATAAAAAACCGCCATGTATTCAGCACAAGGTTGCAACTCCCCCCAACACAACCCCGATGTATTCAAAGCCACCGTTTTACCGTACATAAAATACATAGCAGCAGCAGCTAGTGTACTATAACTGAACTTCAAAAACCCCGGATCTAAGCTCATCATATCTACTAGTTGTGAAGCTCTAGTGAATTGATAAGCCGAGTACTGGGGAAAGAAAAAGTCTCTATTCATACCGATGTGGAGCTTCTGCTTGGTCACGTTCCCCGCTTGGAAGTGGATCTGCATGTACAAGTTCAACCAATCGCTGGGCGTCATCACGTTGAGGTCCCATCCGAGGCTGTTGAGGATTAATAATTCGCAGGCTAGGATATCCTCAGGACCACAAGCTCCATCGCAAACGTAGGAGAATTCTGAGAGACGTGGAGGATAGATTTCTTCTAATTTGGCTGCTAAAAATAAGCAGGTGACTCCCACCAGTTGGAGCTGGTTCTTGGGAACGTCTGGTCTGATGGAGAGGAATCGATCGAAGTAGTCTACGCAGAGGTAGTAGGTGACTCGTCGGAGATGGTAGACTTCGCAGACTTCCATCACCCAGTCGAGTAGAATGGCTCGCATGCGGGGTATGAAGGTGGAGAATTCTTCGAATAGATGGGGGTTGCGTTGGTTCAGTAAGGCTTCTTCTTTGTACACCATGAACAACCACACCTGGAATTCATATTGGCTCGTATAAGTCTTGTATTTGATAAGTAAGTAAATGGAATCGAGAGGAAAATGTTTCAGTTATGATGCATTGTATAGGATGGATGATTGAGAGTGTGAGGTACTGTATCTGGGAAACTATGCAATCTTATTTGTCCAGTTCAAATATACAGCTATACAAAAGTTAAGGAAGTTGACAAATATTGAGATTAATTTAAAAGTTGCAGGTTTTTGATCGCCAAATTTAGTGTGAATTGTAGAGGTAGGAGCAAAAAATCCACTTAGATATGAGAGAAAACATTTAATTTCGCATATTTGAAAATTTAGTGATCAAAAAGTCTGTAACTTTTAAAATAATCGCAAAATTTGCGAACTTCCTTAATTTTTGTGGAGCAGTTTATTTCTCAATTGGCCGCTAGGGGGTGTAACTGCAATATTGAAACTAAAAAAAGTAATATTTCTATGAATTCCGCTGTATTAACCTAACAAAAAATACCAGATATTTAAAGTCGAGTATAATATGAACATTTTTGGTTAAAAATTTTTGCTGTATCTCTAAAAATAAAGTGGTGAGTGTTATTCAAATGTTTCCCTTAAAAAACACCCTGTATCTTCGAAACGGTTGAACCGATTTGAACAAACTTGGGCTAGTTGAAAAGAGCTATTCTTGGGGTACAAAAGTTATATTATTTAAAGTTTTGTTAGATTCACTTGTCGCTAGTAGAGCGCTTTTTTCGACATTTCGACAGAAATGGTCAAGTTTCTCAAAAAAATTAAATTCATTGGCATGATTTTTTTTCCATTAATAATTAGCTAAATGATGCCTAAACAAGCTAGCGAAAATCGCATCTCGATATCTTGTTCCTAATCTAAAATTTAGGCCAAAGAAAATTTTATAAGGTAGACTGGAACAAATGTAAAAATGGGATAAATGTAATATTTTTACCTATTATGTTAATGTTTTTTTATTATTTTTATAATTTTTTTTGTGCATTAGACAGGATTTGTTTCTTATTTTTTCTTTATTATTTTGTAGCTCTGTTATTTTTTGAAATAAATAAATAAACAACATGTCAATTTTTGGAGGAACCAAATATGTATTTATAATTGCCCCATATGTTTTTCTATATAATTGTATTATTCTTGTTGTAATTTCTATATATTGTCAACATTTCAAAAAATATGTAAAATAATTTTCTTCCTTTTCAAAAAAACTTTTTAACAACTCGATCCTTTAGTTTAGGAAGTTGTGAATTTAATGTGGTATCAGCATTTCTAATAAGAGAAAAAATAAAGCCACATTTTAGGATTTAATTTGATTTGAACTATTCAAATTTTACAATCGATTTGCCCCAGTATACCTTACGGAAATTCCTTCTATTATTTGTCCTCTTCAATAAATTTCAATATTCTCGGAAAAAGGTGTTTAATTTTTTTGAGAAAATTAACCATTTCTGTCGAAATGTCGAAAAAAGCGCTCTACTAGCGACACTTGAATCTAACAAAACTTTAAATAATATAACTTTTGTAGCCCAAGAATAGCTCTTTTCAACTAGCCCAAGTTTGTTCAAATCGGCTCAACCGTTTCGAAGATACAGGGTGTTTTTTAGGGAAAAATTTGAATAACACTCACCACTTTATTTTTAGAGATACAGCAAAAATTGTTAAACCAAAAAGGTTCATATTATACTCGACTTTAAATATCTGGTATTTTTTGTTAGGTTAATATAGCGGAATTCATATAAATATCACTTTTTTTAGTTTCAATATTGCAATTACACCCTTTAGCGGCTATTTGAGAAATAAACTGCTCCACAAAAGTTAAGGAAGTTCGCAAATTTTGCGATTATTTTAAAAGTTACAGACTTTTTGATCACCAAATTTTCATTTATGCGAAATTAAATGTTTTCTCTCATATGTAAGTGGATTTTTTGCCCCTACCTCTACAATTCACACTAAATTTGGCGATCAAAAAACCTGCAACTTTTAAATTAATCTCAATATTTGTCAGCTTCCTTAACTTTTGTGGAGCAGTATATTTTCCAGGTTTTTCTCTTGGCCGTTTTTAGTAATAACTTTCTTTACCACAATTCTCTACAATGCCAAGTTTCCCATATACAGTACCTCGCAATATTAATTGACCACCCTGTACATACCTCTTTAGAATCGGCCCAATCCATTAAAGGCAACGGAGCTTTTCGGGTTTTCTGCGGCGAATCGAACTCGTTCCCTTTGACGCTACCCTTTCGTTTGCCTGTTCTTCGAACTCCCAGCTTCTTCCTAGAATGCGGAGTCTTGTGTTCTTTTTCGGTCAGCCCATTCGTAGTGATCGAATCGGAACCGATCTCTATTCGAGTCTCTTCGATCCTCTCGCAATCATCTTTGGATTTGCCCTGCAAGGCTTTGTCCCTGTTGAGGGTGTTCTGGCGCACTTCCTTGCCGAATTGGAAGCCCCACACGGTCTGTTTCTGGTGGATTTTCAGCAAATCTTGAAAGGATAGTTTGCTGGTGTCGCCGTATTGGTTTTCGTTGTGCTCTTCGATCGATTTGAACTTGTCCGAATCGCTGAAATCGCTGAAATTCTCCGTCGATTGTAGGGAATAATTTCCTTCGGATTTGTTGCTGTTCATCGTGTAAACTTCGAATGGAAATCGGTCTTTTAAAGCGAGCGATTCTCGATCAACAGCGATTGAACTAAAAGGAATTGTGTTTTTAATATTTGTATTATCATTAAATATACAATATTTCATGCAATAATATAGGCTAAGTCGGGATTGTATGCTATTTCCAACGAGGTATAAAAAGTGATTGAACTCTTCTTGACCCTGACTTATCCTAATTTATTAATTACAAGTACAACCAAAAAAGGAAAGCACATGTTTCAATCTAGAACTAAATCGAGAATAATCCCAAATACCGGCTAAATTAAATGCCCAACCTGTTAAAGGAAACCAGCCGTGAAATTGCTGAGCTTATCGCAAAACTTATTGTGTAACAAAGGTGTTTGTTTTGGCCATTTAAAGGGATTTAAATGGATTTAAATGGCTTCGTTTTTGTTGGTTATAGTTTCTCAATAGCGTTGCTAATTAATAAATGAATTCAGCACACTCTCTGATGATACATTAATATAACTTACCGATTAAATAGTTTTTCCAAATTTCAATGGGGGCACTAAACTTTGTATTACGCAAAAATCCGATCACAATTCAGTTAAAAAGTTTCATCGACTTTTCTAGTAATTAACTGTTAGGTATTCACTAGATATTGATCGGCTTTTTTAGAAAAATATCGCTAATATTCAGAGAAAATGTTGCAAAAGCCAATTTTTTCCTACGTGTCTATTCACATAACCAAGCAACAGGACATTGCTCGAAATCCCGCCATACAATTTTCGATTATCCCGCCATATAGAAAAAAAGGATTTTGACAGAAATAATTTTTCGATTTACCAACTTATTTCGCTACATCGTTTGTAAATCAACTAATTCCACCTTTTTATATATATAAGTTTATTTTTTTCCGCAATTTTTCTCCTTTTTTGAGAGTTCTTATACCAAAATATAAACTACTAGTTTTACTACTACAGAAGGGTTAAAACTAAAAATTTCACTTTCAATCAATGTGCTTATTCTTATATTATAGGATTATTAAAAAATCTACTTACATTTCACTCAGAACTCACTCATTTATTAATAAAACTAGATTGTTTTGATTTATCATAACCAACAGATGATTGCACTAGCACAGCTGACATATTACCAATTACAACGGGTTTACTCCCGCAGTGTTGCCACCATCAAAACTTCTTGTGTAATAGAATTTGCCATAAAAGTGTACTAGATTTGAAACGATTGTACAAGATATTCAAACGCATGCGCAAACGTTTAAAATGTAGCTGCTGTAGAGCGTCCAACTACATATTGTCTTTTAGTATTTCTTAATTATATACATAGGCACTCGGAAAAAGAAAAGAAAAATTATTAAAAAAGTCAAAAAAGTACTTCTGTACTTTTCTGTACGTACAGAAAAGTGTTTCAAGATAGTTTGACCCTTTTTTAGAACTTGAAAATTGTAATAGATTTTTGGTAATAGCGTAATAGACGAATCTTCATTGTAATAGATCTATTACGATTGTAATAGCAGTGGCAACACTGCTTCCGTGTAAATTGACATAACAGAGTTCCATGAGCAGCGCTGCAGTGTTTGATTACATAACTAAAAAAACGCAACCACCATAACAGGAACATATTTTGAGATTGTTGATTCATAGGTGGCGCCATCTACTGCATTTATTATTATTTTTTTATTTTTGATTAGATGTTCTTAACAATTTACCAGTTAACATGAAGAGCAAGATCTTGGTCAAATTAAACCATAAACAGCATTAAATAATAGGTATACTTACCAATAATGAATTATTTGTACTATTTCTTTTTTCTCATCAGGTGAAAAGATGTATATATCTATTAATAATTGAATTTGTTTAATTATTTCGCATTGGGTAGATAAATATTTAATTTAACAAACACGAGTAGTTTAAGAGATATACCTAAGTGGACCTGTAAAATTGCATAATAATAATATTATATATTGTTGGATTGTATAAAACTCATGAGTCATCTAAAATTTCTAAATCAAGGCTATTATATCAAGACTTTTGATTTTTAGGTAAATCGACCGAAAGAATGAAATTAAAAAAAATGTTAAACATTTTATTGACTAACTAAAAAAATAAATAAATAATTGTATCTATTAATTATTAAATATAATAAAAGTTTATATCAATGTATGTCCTAAACCTCTTAGTTTTCGAGCTACAGGGTGTTAACATTTTAGGAAAAAAAATAGCTTTTCTATCATAATTTTCTTATTACGGCAGATATTTTTATGAAATCTCGGACGTGGACGTCACTGATAATAGTAAAAAATGAATTTTTATCCCATAAAAAAGTGTTTCCATGCATGGTGGGTGCCTATCAAATTTCAACAAAATATCAAAAGCAGTCTCAAAATAAACTTGGAGAAAAATGGTTTTGGTTTTTATTTTTTTACGGGAAAATGGTGCGTTCTACGAAAATAAGTCGTTTGATCAAATTTGCTACAAAATAAATGAGGATTTTATAAATAATTTTAGTTTTTAGAAAAAGCAATGATGTACCATTTTTTTTTCAAACATTCAGTTCAAACCCCGTACGGACGTCACTGATGAATATTTAAAAAAATCTTATGCCTCAAAAATGCCCCTTAATAATTAAAAAGTGTATACAAAATTTCTTAAAAATAACTGGAGTAATAAAAAATTATGATACAAAAGTTTTTTTTTAAATTTTAACACCCTGTAGCTCGAAAACTAAGAGGTTTAGGACATACATTGATATAAACTTTTCTTCTTAAAATCAATCAAATATTCACATCCTGAAGTATCGGCATTCAATTAATTAACACCCTATACAGGGTGTCCCAATGAAAAGTAGCCCCTTTAATGAGCTTGTAATTTGTAAACGAATAATCGTAAAAACATGCGGTTTTCTCAGATATGTTTTATTTTAAGTTTTGTTACAGTGATACAGAAAATTTGCTTTACCAACACAGGGTGTTTTATCAAAATCTTCTGTTTTAAATACACAGTAACCAATTTTTTTTAATGGAATACCCCGTATATGTAAAGATATTTTGAAAGATACACTCTTCTACTTTTTAAAAATTTGTGCATGTTATTGTACATGTCCAATATCATAAAATTTAGTTAATGTAAATTTTAATGTAAACACCCTGTACAGACGATACAAAACTTTTGTGTAACTGTAACAAAGTTATAACAAAATAAGATATATCTACGAAAAGTTTTTATGATTAGGCGTTTAAAAATTAAACTGCTCCACAAAAGTTAAGAAAGTTCGCAAATTTTGCGATTATTTTAAAACTTACAGACTTTTTGATCACCAATAATTTTGAATATGCTAAATTAAATGTTTTCCCTCATATTTGAGTGGATTTTTTGCCCCTTCCTTCCACAACTCATACTAAATTTGGCGATCAAAAAACCTGCAACTTTTAAATTAATCTCAATATTTGTTAACTTCCTTAACGTTTGTGGAACAGTATACAGTGTGTGTCACGACGAGGGCCCATTAGAAGTATCTGGAAAAGTGGTTGTAATTAAAATTTGAAAATTTGTGTACAAGTGTTAGTCGATGCGCTTTATTTAATGAAAATATTTTCAACTTTTCTGCCTTATTCTTAAATAACTCTGTTTTACAAGTTGGCCATGTAATATCTCACGAGTACCAAAATTAATAATCAATTACATAATTACAAACAATTTACATGACCAACTAGTAAAAACGGATTATTTAAGAATAAGGCAGAAAAGTAAGTTTTAAATAAAATTTTTAATATCATCAAACCTATTAGGTTTAGGTATAGGGAAGTAAACATGAACTTTCCTTATTTTTTATCCCTGATTTCAATAAAATAGAAAAAAATGGGTGGTTCCATTTAAAAAAATGAAATAATTTGGTATTTTTGAAGTTCAACTTTTCACATGTTTTGTATACACCCTGTATAAAATAAAAAGTTTTTTAACACAAATTCAAATACCTTTGACCTTGCTAGTGGCCACCCTACAGAAACCGTATCCATATCTTTAAAGAGATCCCCGTAAAAAAATATTTACAAAAGTCTGCATCGGTCAAATTTTTCAAAAAAAAAATTAGTAACTCAAAAAGTATGCATTTTTGAAAAAGGTTTTTTAGACAAAAGCACTCTAAAATTTTGCGTACATTTCGAAAATATATTAATATATGGGGTGTTCCATTTAAAATAACAAAGTTGATGTCCACTTCCGGTATAACCGGAAGTAAAGTAAAGTTGAAAATATTTTCATTGAATAGAGCGCATCGACTAATACTTGTACACAAATTTTCAAATTTTAATTACAACTACTTTTCCAGATACTTCTAATGGACCCTCGTCGTGACACACACTGTATTAGCTCATTAAAGGAGTTATTTCTCATTGGGACACCCTGTGTATAATAAAAAAGAAATTGCGAATACGGCCCATCGTCTCCGGTATCAAAAAATAAACAAAAACCATAGCCAAAACCGCCACCACAGCGAATCCCCAGAAAGCCACCTCCAGTCCCAACATCACCCACACACTGGGAAACACATACGTGACCAAGAACATAATCAAATGCATCAGAAAAGCCGAAGCGCACGTCAAAATATACCCGTACCTCTGCGGAAACAACTCGATACTAATCGTAGAAGTCAAAGGCCCCGAACCCAATTTAAAACTGAATATGTACAGGGTGGCCAAATAAGGATGGCTTTGGTTTTTCATTTTCCACGGCATGGTTATTTTTTTTGTTCTCAACTAGTGCGAATAGAAGGGAAATTCCAATAATTATTGAATGAATATTACTTAGCTTGGTGTTTCTAAATATTATACTTAAGATTATTATTAATAAATTGATTATTTTTGTGGATGAAATAACGCTAATTAGAGGCTTTTATATTGGTAGTGCACCAAAAATTACCAATTTTCTTGATTTTTTTCTTTTTTAGATATATTTTAGGTTAGAAAGGGGATATCGAGATGCGGTTTTCACAGGCTTGTTTGGCAATTATTTGACTATTTTTCTCCAAAGAAAAAGTTATATCGTTGCATTTAAATTTTTTGAAAAATCGGTGTTTTTTGAAGTAATGTCGAAAAACGTCATCTTGCGGCCAAGCAAGCAATTTAAATAATATCTTATATAGCGTAAATTATAGACCAAAAAAAAGCCCTTTTAAACAATTTCATTTTTTTGAAAATCGGTTCACCCGTTTAAAAGTTATTAACATTTATTTGTCAAAATCTTCAAACCACCCCCACCACTTTATTTTAAAAGATAGAGTCAAAAATATATAACAAAAAATAATCGAAATTATCTTAACTATAAAAATAAAACACGTTCTTGATACCTTTATTTAGAAAGATTTTGAAAATAATGACTTTTAAAAATTAAGATGGCGGATACTCCCCCTAGCGGCCATTTTAGAGACCTGAAAATTATTTCCAGCATTTTCTTTTGGCCGATTTAGTCATAAGATTTTTTACCGCAAGTCTCTATGACAATTAGTTTGCGAGATATGGCCGAGAGCCATCCTTATTTGGCCACCCTGTACAGTGTACACGATCAAACACCACCACCGGCAACCAGAACACCGAGCTCACATCCACCCCCTGCGACTTGAGGAAAAAATACCCACCGAACATCACCAGAGCGACCAACTCCCCTGCGTACGATAGCATCATCAATTTCCTCCTACCCCAGGTATCCACCAGCTTCGTGATCAAAATCATCGGGATGATTTGCATCAAAGCCACCACCATCACCGATTTATCGGCCGGCAACGAAGACTCCGATTCTGCTAGAATCGATTGCTGGTAGGCGAACACGCAATTCACCCCAGCAAATTGCTGGAACATTATCAAAGCAACAGCCAAAGCGAAACTCTTTCGAACACCTTTCGAACCCACCATGGCACCCAACGAGAATTTAACCGACTTCTCCTCGTTCAGATACCTCACGATTTTCTCCAATTCTTCGTTAACGTTATCAGTTCGCCTCGTTTTCACCAATATAGCCTCGGCTTCCTTCAATTCCCTCCTACTCGCGAAGTAATAAGGACTCTCCGGTACAAACAATCCGAAGACAACGAAAAAAGTTATAGAAGGCACTAAAGAAACCATAGCTAGAGTTTTTATGGTGACGTACGGACCGAGCACAAACACGAAATCCTGCGCTAAGGTCACCATCCAATTGGTGAAGCTGCAGGCCCTGCCGCGGTGGCTCGAAGGCACCACCTCCACCACGTACACCTGGATGAGGGTGGTGGCGCCGCCGGTGCCCACCCCCATCAGGAATCGGGCGATGTAGAAGTGGGGCACCTCCTTGGCGACCATCAGGATGAGGTTGGAGATGAGCTGGGGCGCGGCGAAGACGAGCAGGGTGCGCTTCTTGCCCAAACGGGCGGTAAGGGGGCCGCAGAGGAGCGGGGCCACGATGCAGCCGAGGTTGTGCAAGGAGGTGATCCAGGCGATTTGTTGGATGGTGGCCGGGTGGTCGAGGGGGTTGTGCGCGGGGTGGGTTTGGCCAGAGAGTTTGGGAACGCAGGGGGACGACCAGGAGAAGCCCACTCCTGCGAGTATCGCCATGAAGTTTACTGTGGACATAAAGGCGTTGTTTCTATCGGCGAATTGTTCATCTATACTTCAAAATGGGAGTAACCAAAAGAAGGTTAGACGCTGGATCAATGAATGATTGGCCAGAGTAAGGAGGTTTTTTTATTTTACACAATAGATGCAAATGTGCATGGTGATCCAGCGTCTAACGTTGTTTTGGTTACTCCATTGGTTGGATGGATGAAGTATAGGTCTGTTCGGTTTGTAATGTATTAATAGCGTTTTCCATTGGTGAAATAGTGAGCACTGAAAGTGCACTCGAAGCAAAATGTTTGCTTCATTTGGTGCAATGTGCGAGTGTTTTGATTACCAAAAGTGTTTTTTCGGTGACCAGATTGCCAATGGAAATCAAAACACTCGCACATTGCACCAAATTCTATCAGCTAATTGTTCATCTATACTTCATCCATCCAATCAATGGTGTAACCAAAACAAGGTTAGATCGCTGAATCAATGAATGATTGGCCAGAGTAAGGAGGCTTTTTTATTTTACACAATAGATGCAAATGTGCATGGTGATCCAGCGTCTAACGTTGTTTTGGTTACTCCATTGGTTGGATGGATGAAGTATAGGTTTGCTCGGTTTGTAATGTATTAATAGCGTTTTCCATTGGTGAAATAGTGCGCACTGAAAGTGCACTCGAAGCAAAATTTTTGCTTCATTTGGTGCAATGTGCGAGTGTTTTGGTTTCCATTGGCAATCTGGCCACCAAAAAAACACTTTTGGGAAATCAAAACACTCGCACATTGCACCAAATGAAGCAAAAATTTTGCTTCGAGTGCACTTTCAGTGCGCACTATTTTACCAATGGAAAACGCTATTAATAAACTACTGGACAAAATTAACGCAACATCATAAATTTGCCACATTTTTTATGCTATTTTTTGTTTGAATTTATGATCCGATTTGGATGATTTTTTTTTGTATTATAGGTTGGTTCCTTGACAATGTCATCATTTTCGCTGTTTATGATAAAATGTTCCTTCTCGATTATACCGGGTGTAATAAAATGTAATGTTTTTTTCCGAAAATTCGTATCACTCTGTGGAGTATACTAACAAACGAGACATATAGCAGTTGAAATTAGACGGTAGATCCATCTTTTTCCAACATTTTCTTTTTTGGTTTACTTCATTATCTCTGTTATTAAAGGAGATACGCCGTTTTATAGCGTAACATGTTTTAATAGACTGTATTATTCAAAACATTCATTGTTAAATATTTTCAAGTAGGCTATGGGCCATTTTTGACATTTCAAGTGATGTGTCAATATCGAATACATTATTTGTTATCTGTATAACAAAATAATTCCTGCTCGCTTTGATGAATGAAAACAAAATTAATGAATTACTTTATTTCATAAAGTAAAATTAAGAGTTTATTAAACACATTTTTTTTTGGAAACGAGCGAAACAAGAAAAGAACATAAATCAAAAACAATAAAATTAATGAATTTATAATTCTAATAACGTGTATGTCCACCTCTAATTCGAATCACTGCTCCATTGCAATATTACTCATTAAATAGCCCTCATCCGCCAAAGTTAAGGCTCTTACTGCTTCTTCGGTCGATAAATTTTTTGGACGATTCATTTTTCAAGATTAAAATAACAAATAATGTATTCGATATTGACACATCACTTGAAATGTCAAAAATGGCCCATAGCCTACTTAAAAATATTTAACAATGAATGTTTTGAATAATACAGTCTATTAAAACATCTTACGCTATAAAACGGCGTATCTCCTTTAATAACAGAGATAATGAAGTAAACCAAAAAAGAAAATGTTGGCAAAAGATGTATCTACCGTCTAATTTCAACTGCTATACCATATGTCTCGTTTGTTAGTATACTCCACAGAGTGATACGAATTTTCGGAAAAAAACATTACATTTTTATTACACCCGGTATAATCGAGAAGGAACATTTTATCATAAACAGCGAAAATGATGACATTGTCAAGGAACCAACCTATAATACAAAAAAAAATCATCCAAATCGGATCATAAATTCAAACAAAAAATAGCATCAAAAATGTGGCAAATTTATGATGTTGCCTTAATTTTGTCCAGTAGTTTATTAATAGCGTTTTCCATTGGTAAAATAGTGCGCACTGAAAGTGCACTCAAAGCTAAATTTTTGTCTCATTTGGTGAATTAAGCGAGTGTTTTGATTACCAAAAGTGTTTTTTTGGTGACCAGATTGCCAATGGAAATCAAAACACTCGCACATTGCACCAAATGAAGCAAAAATTTTGGTTTTAGTGCACTTTCTAGAATTCTAGTGTCTAGAATTTAATACCGGGTGGATCAAGATGAACCGTTTGTTAATAGTTAATAGACGTACCTGAAATGGCTACGAAATAAGAATAATTTATTCTCTCTGTCGGCTTGCAATCGATCATTTTGATATCGATGCGTAATAATAATAAACCTGTAAGTAGCAAAATGTGATAAATAAAAAAATATTTTTAACGCTCGTCCGAATTCGTCGAATAAGAAAATAATAATAACGGAGTGTTATAAAGGAGAGAACGTGTGGTATGGTCAAAAATAAGCGACAACAGGATTCCAAATTGAATTAATGTAATTGAAAAATTACATAATGGGCTAAGATTTCGGTTGGTTTTCGTGGACGAAATTACAACGAGAAACGGGAAAATGTACGAGGAAAAAATACTTATACAGGGTGTTTCATTGGGAAAGGGCAATATTTTAACCCTATATATAGAGGTCACCCAGGAGATTACAAAATACACATATACTATGGATCTTGCGCCCTTTTTAATCGAGTTACAGGGTGTTTTTTTGAATTTGGCCCATATCTTTCGACACCTATAACTTTTGAATCACTTAGTATATTTTTTTGATACTTGGTATAGATATTCTATACCTTTAGGACAATTTATTGCCACATGAAAAAAAATTACTAAATCCAGGTCCGGATTTAGAAAAAATTATTAAAATTTGACCGACCCTAAAACAACACCCTAAACATAATATTTTTAAAAATTGAATTTCAAACTTAGAAAGAGCATAAAAAACTAATTGTATTTATCTGTAGTCATGTGTTCATCTTCAAGCCCTGGGTGACCTCTATATAGTGTTAAAATATTGCCCTTTCCCAATGAAACACCCTGTATTAATAACAGTGTTAGGTACTTTTGAAAATAAAAAATAAAAACTTACGAATTTATAAAATTGGACAGTCGTTTTTTTTTTCATAAATTATTATTGTTCCACACTGTATATGTATGCGTTACATTCTATGCTTCAATCGCTTTAATAAGACATATGTATATAGGGTGAGTCAATATAATTTAATTAAACTCCTTTCTAAACATTTGAATTCAAAAGAACAAAAAAATATGTATAGGGTGTTAAATAATTGAATGCCGATACTTCAGGATGTGAATATTTGGTTGATTTTAAGAAGAATAGTTTATATCAATGTATGTCCTAAACCTCTTAGTTTTCGAGCTACAGGGTGTTAAAATTTTAGAAAAAAATAACTTTTCTATCATAATTTTCTTATTACTCCAGTTATTTTTAAGAAATTTTGTATACACTTTTTAATTATTAAGGAGCCTTTTTTGAGGCATAAGTTTTTTTTAAATATTCACCAGTGACGGACGTACGGGGTTTGAACTGAATGTTTGAAAAAAAAATGGTACACCACTGCTTTTTCTAAAAACTAAAATTATTTTTAAAATCTTCATTTATTTTGTTGCAAATTCGATCAAAAGGCTTATTTTCGTACGACGCACCATTTTCGCGTAAAAAAATAAAAACTAAAACCATTTTTCCCAAGTTCATTTTGAGACTGCTTTTGATATTTTGTTGAAATTTAATAGGCGCCCACCATGCATGGAAACTCTTTTTTGGGGGATAAAAATTAATTTTCTACTATTATCAGTGACGTCCACGTCCGAAATTTCTTAAAAATATCTGCCGTAATAAGAAAATTATGATAGAAAAGTAATTTTTTTAGTCTAAAATTTTAACACCCTGTAGCTCGAAAACTAAGAGGTTTAGGACATACATCGATATAAACTTTTCATCTTAAAATCATCTAAATATTCACATCTTGAAGTATCGGTATACAATTAATTAACACCCTGTATATCTACTAGCACAACTCACCGTCGAAATTACGCACAGTAAATAAATCGATAAAACTGAATTTAAATAATAAAAAAATAGATAGAAATAAATATACAAAAAAGGTACCTAGAATTCTGAATGTGGTAATGAAATAGCTAATAACAAATGCTAATAGTGTAATTTTTCTTGTCTCAAAAATTTTAATTGTATTATAATTGAATTGGTATTTACATATACAGGGTGTCCCTGAAAGTGTGGGAAATCTCTCGGATCCATATAAAACATTAAAAAATAAGATTAGAAGTTCCTATAAAAATTTTCCCTACAGGCCCTCCCTACAAAGAGTCCCAGAAGGGCGCCACTGGAAATAGGTTTTCCTTAAATATATTCCAAAGTACTTGATATAATTAAACAAAAATTTAAAATGATGGACACTACTGAGGGCCTCAAAAATTAGTGTCCTTGAAACATATTTAGATTTTTTAGTTTACCAGTACCGGGCTAAGGCTAACACTTTAATGCATGAATTTTCAACACCCTGCATAATAAAGACTTAAAAAATATAAATCTGGAAAGCTTGAACCATAAACTTAAAAAAAGGTACTCCTCTCAATTGTCGATAAAATGCGGATTTTTATCATCCCATACATGTAAATTGTGTAAAAATGTGATACCATTTCTGGTAAAAATAAATCGTTTATTATTGTTTTTCTCGTAAACGGTTCATTTTATCGACAATTGAGAGGAGTACCTTTTTTTAAGTTTATGGTTCAAGCTTTCCAGATTTATGTTTTTTAAGTCTTTATCATACAGGGTGTTGAAAATTTATGCATTAAAGTGTTAGCCTTAGCCCGGTCCTGGTAAACTAAAAATGCTAAATATGTTTCAAGGACACTAATTTTTGAGGCCCTCAGTAGTGTCATCATATTAAATATTTGTTTAATTATATCAAGTACTTTAGAAGATATTTAAGGAAAACCTATTTCCAGTGGCGCCCTTCTGGGACTCATATCTTTGTAGGGAGGGCCTGTAGGGAAAATTTTTATAGGAACTTCTAATCTTATTTTTTAATGTTTTATATGGATCCGAGAGATTTCCCACACTTTCAGGGACACCCTGTATACCTTTTTGGTGTCTGCATATTATTGCAGGTTTGTACGTGTACTTAAATCTAGAGCATATCTACATTATATTGTTTTGTTTAAATAATAATCCGAAAATTTGCAAATTCATTAAATTTGTTGTATAATACGTTGTGATCTCAGCAAAGTTTCGCATAATTTAAATAAGATAAATAACCAGAGAGTCCTTGTTGGGTTCCAACACAACAAGAGTTGTATCTATTTATGTAAACGTTTAATGCGGATACTGCATCGAAAGACAAACCAAAAACTCCCCGAACACGTTCGAGTCCTTATACAGATTTCTCCAAAAAAATTCCTGCATACAGTGTGTGTCACGACGAGGGCCCATTAGAAGTATCTGGAAAAGTAGTTGTAATTAAAATTTGAAAATTTGTGTACAAGTATTAGTCGATGCGCTCTATTCAATGAAAATATTTTCAACATTTGTTTACTTCCGGTTATACCGGAAGTGAACAGCAACTTTGTTATTTTAAATGGGACACCCCATATATTAATATATTTTCGAAATGTACGCAAAATTTTAGAGTGCTTTTGTCTAAAAAACTTTTTTCAAAAATGCATACTTTTTGAGTTACTAATTTTTTTTTTGAAAAATTTGACCGATGCAGACCTTTATAAATTATTTTTTTACGGGGATCTCTTTAAAGATATGAAAACGGTTTCTGTAGGGTGGTCACTAGCAAGGTCAAAGGTATTTAAATCTGTGTTAAAAAACTTTTTATTTTATACAGGGTGTATACAAAACATGTGCAAAGTTGAACTTCAAAAATACCAAATTATTTCATTTTTTTAAATGGAACCACCCATTTTTTTCTATTTTATTGAAACCAGCGATAAAAATAAGGAAAGTTCAAGTTTACTTCCCTATACCTAAACCTAATAGTTTTGAAGATATTGAATATCTTACATAAATCTTACTTTTCTGCCTTATTCTTAAATAACTCTGTTTTACAAGTTGGCTATGTAATATTTCACAAGTACCAAAATTAATAATCAATTAATTACAAACAATTTACATGGCCAACTTATAAAAACGGATTATTTAAGAATAAGGCAGAAAAGTAAGTTTTAAGTAAAATTTTTAATATCATCAAACCTATTAGGTTTAGGTATAGGGAAGTATACATGAACTTTCCTTATTTTTATCGCTGGTTTCAATAAAATAGAAAAAAATGGGTGGTTCCATTTAAAAAAATGAAATAATTTGGTATTTTTGAAGTTCAATTTTTTCACATGTTTTGTATACACCCTGTATAAAATAAAAAGTTTTTTAACACAGATTCAAATACCTTTGACCTTGCTAGTGGCCACCCTACAGAAAACCATTTTCATATCTTTAAAAGGATCCCCGTAAAAAAATAATTTATAAGGGTCTGCATCGGTCAAATTTTTCAAAAAAAATTAGTAACTCAAAAAGTATGCATTTTTGAAAAAAGTTTTTTAGACAAAACACCCTAAAATTTTGCGTACATTTCGAAAATATATTAATATATGGGGTGTCCCATTTGAAATAACAAAGTTGCTGTCCACTTCCGGTATAATCGGAAGTAAAGAAAAGTTGAAAATATTTTCATTGAATAGAGCGCATCGACTAATACTTGTACACAAATTTTCAAATTTTAATTACAACTACTTTTCCAGATACTTCTAATGGGCCCTCGTAGTGACACACACTGTATACGTCTTGAACGAATTCTGAGAAGTCGCCAATTGTCTCTTGAGCTTCGACTTTGCCCTCATCCACGTATCCTCCACGTTTCTTGCTTTGTACACATATCATCAGGAACCCCAAATAAGTCTTCTTCCTCATCGATCTTATCAATCACCCGATGCTCGTACATCCCACCATCTATTAAACCGATACCACGGTACTCCCTCCGATCATCTGAAACGATTAAAGACTAAAGACATGTATTCATACCATTTGCACTCAACTAATTTTCTTTTCACTAACCGTTCGATAGCAGCCAACAAAGTTTCCTCCGTTCTATCTGGCACTTCTACCAGGAAGCATATTCCGGATCCTCTCTCGATCCCTCCGAAAGTCCTCCTTCCCTCTTGGCCCGCTCGGTGGTATCGGAACCTAAAAATAACATAATATTATGTATTCCGATAAACAGGTTGCTCCATTTCCGATTGCAATATGGTCATTTCTATGAGTTGAACAAAGAAAGATTATTAAAATGACAGTTATCAGAGTGACAAGTTGCAATCACACAAATGTCACTCTTTCTTTTTCTTTCATAAGTGTCTAATTGAAGTTGTCTTTGTTGCACCCACAGCCTATGTTGCAATTAAAAATGGAGCAATCTGTATACAGGGAGGACCAAAAGTCCGTCGCCCCCCCTTTAACTTTTGAATGGTAAGAACAACAATGGCTCGTTCTTTAAACGAAAAAAAACTGTCACTTTCATTAACTTTAAATTTGACAAATAAATGTCAGAGCCAAGAAACCATAGCAACAAGTAATAGACCTATTCAGTTTACGAAAGAGAGTGATGGAGTTATTAGATCAACATAAGATAATAAAAGAAGCAAATATGTTTCACGCGCAATTTGTGGAACCATTTAAAATCTGCGCAAACGTAAGTGCAAGAGAGACGAGATATTTGGCCTATTTCATTGCTGATTGACAGCATTCTTAACTGAAAACTGTTTTAAATATAAAAAAAGAAGAGACCATCTTCAATCATAACCCTATTTTGTTTCTTGTTTACGTTTGATGTTTATTGTTTATGTTCAGTGTGTTTTATTTTTTAACAGTATTTCTTTGTATTATTTAGTATATTTATTTATAAAGGTTATAATTTTTTATATAGGTAAGTTATTTATAAAATTTCTTATAAAATAACATACATAATATTTAAAAACTATTTTGTTTTGTTAGGACCATGCCGCAAATGTGTTGTGTGCCCACGTGCAAAACCATTTGGTTTAAAAACTGTGGAATTTCCTTTCACGACTTTCCAAAAGGAGCCGAAATGCGTATTATTGTTATGTTATGGTTGAATTTGCATACGGATTATTGGATAATGACTAATGACGTCTGAAGTCTGAAGTATGTCTGGTTGTCAGAACCGTATTTTACCTGAGGTGCGTTCGTTTGTTCGTTTAGATGTCCAGCTAATTGTCCACATTATGCGCGCGCAGCACAGGTTAAACTGAATAGGTCTATTGACACATTTTATAGTACGTTCAGAATTAATTCTTAAATGTATCAAAATGCCCGGGGGATAAAACTAAATTGGTATTCACGTGAATAAGCGTTATTAAAATGTTTTCAAATTTGGGGGTTGACTTAAGAATGAAATTACCTTTATAACGAGGTGTCACTTAACCCCCTTTCCATAAAAAAAAAGATTCAAAATGGCGCCTAACTGTCATTTTGAAAGTTTCATTGTTACGACAAAAAATAGTATTTTTACTCCAACATAAACACCCCGAATTGCGCGACAAAAGTTCTTACCATTCAAAAGTTAAAGGGGGGCGACGGACTTTTGATCATCCCTGTATACGAATGAATCTAATGTACAATACACTTACTTCGCAGGCCTCGCATGAGACTTCCTTTGCAAGAAGGCCTCTTCTCACCAGCCACTCGATGAGATCCGATAGATTGTTTAGGGGTAAGTACGAAAGATTGGTTAACTCTTTCGTCCTTTATCTCCCCGTGATTCATTATTTCGTGCGGGGGTACGATAAATGTAGTAGCGAACATTCTCGAAGACATCCTCTGCTCGATTTCGCACTTGTAAAGTCGGCTAAACGAACCCCACGAGGCGCTATTTACTTATTTAAATTAGTCTATGCAGAGCAAAAGTTGTAAACACAGAATAAATAATGGTTGTAAGTTGTAAATAAAGAATAAACAATGCGACATAATACAAAATATAACCTAAAATTATCTTCTTCTCTTCTTATTAGTGGCCTCTTGCTAAATAATGTTGCATCCACAGAGTGATTCATTTCTTGTTTCATTACATGGCCTTTTGCTAAATGGTCATTCATCCAGAGTGGCTGTTAGTTAAAAAGCAACCGCCACAAGTTATTGTTTCCTATTTTATTTATTCATTTACTTTATCGAACATTTATTATTTTATCAATCAAACATTTATTCTCGTGCGTTAATTACAAAACTCCAAAAAAAACGTTATGTTCTATATTGTATTATTCTACTCTACTCTTAATCTATTTTAAATCTACCCTACATTACTTTAAATCTACTCTCTGTTTACATTCCTATCCTACTTTATAATTGCTTTACTTTAATCCTACGTTGTTCTATGCTAAATTATTGCTCTATTCTTACTCCGATTTTACTCTACTCTGAATCTACTGTAGGTACTTTTATTTTATTCTAATTCTTCCCTAATCTGAATCTACTTTAATTCTCCTATAAGATTCTACTATAAGATTCTCCTATACTCTACTCCGAATCTACTCCGAAACTCCCTCGATATATTCTACTCATCCTACACGTCTATCCCACTCTCTACCCAACAAATTACCCATCATATACTATTACACAATCGTATAATTCCACCCCTACACGCTACAGGCGCCCTTAACATTCCCTCATACGCTCCTCCAACACGCCGGAATTCACCTCGGCGTATAAAAAAAAGAAATACCAACCAACCCCTTCTACATCCCCCCCGCCTTATCGATTTTCCGTGACATCACACCGCGAAGGGTTGCCGAGCAACGAGGCGCCGGCGCCGAGACGCTCCCCGCCGCCTATATCGACCCCCGGGCTCTCTCTCGCCATTGCATCAGTTCGATCCGTCGCGACGGCCCCGACAAAAAATATATATACCAGAAAATGCGCAAAACTGGTCAATTTCAGTGCGAAAAATCCGTTCGTTAATCGCGCTAATCGATCGGTTAATTAAAAATATAAAATACAATTGGTAATTGACCGTGTGTGCGTTGGATTTTTCGCGGGGAAAACGCGCAAAATATGAGAAAGAAACACGACTAAAACGGCCCGTGAAATTAGTGATAAATTTTAGTGTTATTAGTGTTAATAACGACCCGTTTTTAAATGTTATTTAATAGTTTAATTAATCGTTATATTTACACTGCATTAGCCCCATCGATCGATTAATATATGTATAGGAATAATTGTTGTAATAAGCGTGTAGATATATTCGCAAAATGCGCCAAATAATCTCGAAAAAACAACATCAACAACAACAACAATAACAACAACAACAACATCAACAACAACAACAACAGTAGAGTGATAGAATTAAAAAAACAAAATGGGTACGGTGTTGAGTTTTTCCCCGCGCGAGCGACGCCCCGTGTACGCGTCGGCTTCGGCGGGCGATTTCACGTTGAACAACATCACCTACGAGCAACTGAACAACGCCAAGAACAACCGCGAGAACAGACCGGCGACGGGCGGAGGCGGCGGCGGCGGCGGCGGCGTGGGCGCCAACAACCGCGCCACCCTCTGCCAGAACAACATCAACATCAACAACAACGAGAACGCGCGCATCATATGCGAGAAGAACGCGCTCGAAAAGAACCTGCGGAAGCACTCGCTCTTCATCAACGCCCTCTCGTGGCGTCGATTCTCCACCGCCAACAACGGCAAGAAGAAGCTCGACAACAACAACAAGAACAAAAACAACATGACGGCGTTCCGGCAACCGTTGGCCGACAACGTCAGGCCGCAGATGTGCGACAAGAACAAGAACAAACAGGCTTCGTACTACGTGCAAACGAACAAGAGCGCCTCGGCGCTCGCCTTGGACGTCGTCCGGGCGAACAATTCGAACAACAACAACAACAATAACAACAACAACGCGCGTAGGGAGAAGGTGGTCGACAAACAGGCGATATTGAGCGGCGGGTGCCAGAACCAGGTGGTGCCGACGTCGGTGGGCGTCGCGGCGGCGGCGGCGCCGCTCAGGAAAACCGTCATACAGGCGTCGACGTCGGAATTGTTGAAGTGTTTGGGGATGTTTTTGCACGCAAAGTGTTATAAATTAAGGGATTTCCAGGCCGGAGATGCGGTCATGTGGCTGAGGACCGTCGATAGGAGTTTGTTGTTGCAAGGATGGCAGGTAGAAATTTGGCTAGGAATTTTTATTATTTATTATTATCAATTGGACCATCCAGAGAACATCCAGAACCATTTAAAAATCTCTGGTACAATTTAGAATTCTCCATGCAGACTCATTTAGAAAGCTCCAGAGTCATTTAGAAAGCTCCAGACTCATTTAGGAAGCTCCAGAGTCATTTAGAAAGCTCCAGAGTCATTTAGAAAGCTCCAGAATCATTTAGAAAGCTCCAGACTCATTTAGAAAGCTCCAGAGTCATTTATAAAGCTCCAGAGTCATTTTGAAAGCTCCAGAGTCATTTAGAAAGCTTCAGACTCATTTAGAAAGCTCCAGACTCATTTAGAAAGCTCCAGACTCATTTAGAAAGCTCCAGATTCATTTAGAAAGCTCCAGACTCATTTAGAAAGCTCCAGACTCATTTAGAAAGCTCCAGACTCATTTAGAAAGCTCCAGAATCATTTAGAAAGCTCCAGACTCATTTAGAAAGCTCCAGACTCATTTAGAAAGCTCCAGAATCATTTAGAAAGCTACAGACTCATTTAGAAAGCTCCAGACTCATTTAGAAAGCTCCAGACTCATTTAGAAAGCTCCAGACTCATTTAGAAAGCTCCAGAATCATTTAGAAAGCTCCAGAATCATTTAGAAAGCTTCAGACTCATTTAGAAAGCTCCAGACTCATTTAGAAAGCTCCAGAATCATTTAGAAAGCTTCAGACTCATTTAGAAAGCTCCAGACTCATTTAGAAAGCTTCAGACTCATTAGAAAGCTCCAGACTCATTTAGAAAGCTCCAGAGTCATTTAGAAAGCTCCAGACTCATTTAGAAAGCTCCAGACTCATTTAGAAAGCTCCAGACTCATGTAGAAAACTCCAGAGTCATTTAGAAAGCTCCAGGCTCATTTAGAAACCTCCAGACTCATTTAGAAAGCTCCAGACTCATTTAGAAAGCTCCAGACTCATTTAGAGAGCTCCAGACTCATTTAGAAAGCTCCAGACTCACTTAGAAAGCTCCAGACTCACTTAGAAAACTCCAGACTCATTTAGAAAGCTCCAGACTCATTTAGAGAGCTCCAGACTCATTTAGAAAGCTCCAGACTCACTTAGAAAGCTCCAGACTCACTTAGAAAACTCCAGACTCATTTAGAAAGCTCCAGATTCATTTAGAAAGCTCCAGAATCATTTAGAAAGCTCCAGACTCATTTAGAAAGCTCCAGAATCATTTAGATAGCTCCAGACTCATTTAGAAAACTCCAGACTCATTTAGAAAGCTCCAGACTCATTTAGAAAGCTCCAGACTCATTTAGAAAGCTCCAGAATCATTTAGAACGCTCCAGAATGATGACCATGTTTGGACAAATTAAACAAACTAGAATTCTAGACTATAGACTTTAAAAAAAAAAGTCGATTTTATGTCATACACTAAAAAACGTGCAAAAATCCATAAACTAATGTAAAAATTCGCTCAATTTATTATTCGTTTGCAGGACGTGGCCTTCATCAATCCAGCCAACGTGGTGTTCGTGTACATGCTGGTCAGGGACCTGGTGAAATCGGACATCGAGTGCGAGCAGGACCTCCAAGCGGTCGTGTTGACCTGTCTCTATCTGTCCTACTCGTACATGGGCAACGAGATCTCCTATCCTTTGAAGCCCTTCCTCGTGGAGGACTCGAAAGAGAAGTTCTGGGACCGGTGCTTGGACATTGTCGATAGGTAAAACTGTGTTTTATTTATAAGATGCGACATAGGGATTCCTGTGCAAATGTGTCAAAAGCAAGCTAACTTTTTTATTAAACCAGAACGAATTTAAGAAAATTTAATGTCAATTTCGACTTATTTTTTGACGATCTTTTCTTTTCATATTATATTCATATATTTATAAATTTATAAATTTATCAATATTAGAAACTTAAAAGGTATTAATGTTTTTAAAAAACATATTATTGAATGGATTAAACGTAACTACGACCAAATTAAGAACATCTTTTCTCATTGATCAGGAAAAAAATAGCTTTATTTGTATAAAACCTGTATTTTCTGAACCGGTGCCGCTCAATCAATTTAGTTTTTATATATTTTTTTGTTTTTTTGAGCCACATACAAGAATTTTCTTCTGTGGCGCAATAGAAAATATATTATTTGTAATGTGTATTTGGTACCTAATAAAAATTTTCTAATTTCTAATTTCTAATATTTATAAGAGGCGACATAGGGATTCCTGTACAAATGTGTCAAAAGCAAGCTAACTTTTTTTACCAAATAACGTTCGTAAAAAATAATGACAGATTTCAAAAGATCGTCAAAAAATAAGTCGAAATAGACGTTAAATATTTATTAAATTCGTTCTGGTTTAATTAAAAAATGTATAATTAAGTTGAAAAAAGTCAAACGTCATAAATGTGTCATTTTTATGTCACTATCTAATAATTGTAAAATGGCCGGAGTTAACTGGGATGGTTTACGCTCGGAAATTTAAAAATTTTAGCGGGAAGTAATGGGGTTCAATCCCCGCGCAGAACAGACATTTTTTTCTTGTTTTTTGGTTTTTTTTGGTCTAAAAAAATGTTAAATAGAAATATTTAAAATAAGACGAGCTTATTTGAGATATAATTTTATTTTTATTTAAATAAAAGCTCCGACAATTAAGTGTCAATTTTAATAACGCAAAATCTCGTTAGTTGGTAGAGCCTTTAAAATGATGCCATATTTTTATTCTTGGCAAAAAAAACATTATAAAAACAAAAAATGCCAAAGAAAAAAAGAAAAAAAATTTCAACACTGCGTGGGATTGAACCAGATTCCTTACCGCTGGATTTTTCAAACTTCAGAGCGTAAACCATTCCAGATATTTCCGCCCCTTTTAACAATTATTAGATAGTGACATATGACGTTTGACATTTTTCAACTTAATTTGTACATTTTTTAATTAAACCAGAACGAATTTAATAAAATTTAACATCCATTTCGACTTATTTTTTGACGATCTTTTCAAATCTGTCATTATTTTTTACGAACGTTATTTGGTAAAAAAGTTAGCTTGCTTTTGACACATTTGTACAGGAATCCCTATGTCACATCTTATAAATAACACATTGTATACATTATTAATACGAATTATCCAAAGGATTAAATTTTCTAAAATATCTACCCTTATCTAGATAAATATTCCAGCCAACTAGATAAATTCCTGCCTCTGCTAGATCCTCTATCCATATACAGGTTGCTCCATTTTTGATCGTAACATAGATTATATAGGCCATAGGTGCGATAAAGACAACTTCCATTGGACACTTATAAAGGAAAAGGAAAGAGTGACATTTGTGTCATTGCAACTTTTCACTCTGACAACTGTCGTTTTAATAATCTTTCTTTGTTCCACTCATAGAAATAACCATGTTGCAATCAGAAATGGAGCAGGATATATACGCTATGTATAACAACTAACCATCATTTACTAGTAAATTAATATATATTTTTAATATCTTTCATCTTTGCCATACTTTGAAGCATTTGTGCTTGGTTTCTTCTTAACAATGTAACCCTTGGACATTGAGAATTATCAAAAATAGACCTCCTGAACCTGCGAGAATTCATACTAATTAAAAATTAAACATGATAGCTAAACATGAATGCCTCAAAATTCTTTCACCTCTGGCTCTTATAAAGCATCATAAATCTTTCGACGTTTCCCATTTCTCCCCAACCATCCTCAGGCTGTTAGCTCGCAAATCCGAATCCAACCAGCGTTTCTGTTCTTTTAATTGCGCTACCATCCTCAGGCTATCGTCGAACATGCTCCGGATCAACGCCGAGCCCGGCTACTTCACCGAGATCTTCACCGAGCTGAAGGGCTGCGGCATCGGCAACATCGTAGCCAACAACCTGGCCAACATGGCCTGTCACAACGTCCCGACGTCGACGTCGACGACGCCCGCCTGACGGCGTCGCGACGCCTCATCCGCCGCCGTCGTGAGGCTGAGCCTGGCGGAGGCGCCGCCGTCGGTGCCCTGCGAGGTTTGATTTCCACGAGGACTGGTTAATATTCATCGTACCTTCGGTATCTTCCAAGTTAAATTAACCGGTTGTTAAGTATATACAGGGCTTTTCACGGTAACCGTCCATTAGATGTATCTCAATAATGAAAAGACTTAAAAATCTGAAATTTTGGTTATAGTATTTTTTGGATAATATGAATTGATCTAAAATATTTTTATTTTGATTACACTTCCGGTTATACCGGAAGTTGATACCAACTTCGTTATTTTATATGGAAAGTGCCATTTTTAACTTCATTTTAGAATTCTATGGCCTTTTTTAACTACACTTTGATAATAACACCATATGCCAAAAATGCACCATTTTTAAGATATTACAATTTTTTCGACATTTTTTGGAAAAACAGTCGAGTATTTTCTGTGATATCTCTGTTAATAATGCAGCTAGAAGATTGAAATTGAGTATCGATGATGTCCAGGCATACTACTAAATGAAACTAAACTGTATTTTCAGAATCCATGTACAGGGCGTTTAAAATTGTCTGACAAACTTGGACAAATTAAAGTTGGCATAACTATGTTATTTCAAATGGACCACCAGTATTTTTTAACAGTAACCAATGCAGTTTTTTAAGCCCTTTCGATCCATATGGGTATTCCCTATACCCAAATCCAGTAGTTTTTGAAATAATCGAGGTTTTATTAAATAAGGTATACATTTTCTTTTTTTTTTGAGTTATCTAGTTGGCCATTTGATGACCTCATTTAGTAGTATGTCTGGACATCATCGATACTCAATTTCAAGCTTTTAGCTGCATTATTAACAGATATCACAGAAAATAGATTCGACTGTTTTTCCAAAACATATCGAAAAAATTGATATATCTTAAAAATGGTGCATTTTTAGCATATGGTGTTATTATCAAAGTCTAGTTAAAAAAGGCCATAGAATTCAAAAATGAAGTTAAAAATGGCACTTTCCATATAAAATAACGAAGTTGGTGTCAACTTCCGGTATAACCGGAAGTGTAATCAAAATGAAAATATTTTAGATCAATTTATATTATCCAAAAAATACTATAATCAAAATTTCAGATTTTTAAGTCTTTTCATTATTGAGATACTTCTAATGGACGGTTACCGTGAAAAGCCCTGTATATGATATGTTTAAAGGACGAAAAGAGGAGCTTATAACCGGTAGTTTAAGTATTACATAAAAGGGCGATTTTCCGAGCAAGATATGGTTTCTACCAAATCGGTTAATCGTCCGTTAAACGTCCTGTGCTCGATTAAAATCATTTGATTGGTGGATTAAAATTATACCGGGAAATGTGGGAAAAAGTTCGACACGTGGCAACGCCGCAACGAAGCGAATGTCTCGTTAAATAAACTGCTCCACAAAAATTAAGGAAGTTCGCAAATTATGCGATTATTTTTAAAGTTACAGACTTTTTGATCGCCAAATTTTCAAATATGCGAAATTAAATGTTTTCTCTCATATCTGAGTGGATTTTTTTGTCCCTACCTCTACAAATCATACTAAATTTGGCGATCAAAAAACCTGCAACTTTTAAATTAATCTCAATATTTGTCAACTTCCTTAACTTTTGTGGAGCAGTATACAGTGTGTCCACGGATGGGGTTGCCTATAGGAGAAAAATTTTTATTATTCATTTTACGACAAAAAGTCATTGTTTATAAAAATTTTTGCTTCTTTTAAAAATGAGAATAACACTGAAAAATCTTAGATTGGGTCTACAGGGTGTTGTTAAATTAACAAAATATGAAAATACCTCAAGAGAGAAGTACCATTATTTTTTATTTTACACAAAATTTTTATAAAAGAAAGTTGTTTTTAATCTAAAATAAAGCCTGAATACAAATTTTCAAATTAAAATTCCAATTTTGTGTGTCCACGGATGGAGTTGACCAGAGGAGAAAATGATTATTCATTTTACGACCAAAAGTAATTTTTTATAAAAAAAAACTTTCTTGGGAAAACGGGATTCACATACCAAACATTAGATAAGATGTATAGGGTGTTAGTAAATTAAGAAACAGGAAAAAATTTCAAGAAAGAAAGAATTTATTTATTATCTTACATTATTATTTGCAAAAAAATGCTTTAAATCCAAAGTAAAGCCTAAACACAAATTTTCAAATAAAAAATACAATTTTTACATTATTAATTTATTTTAATTTACTTTGGATAAAAGCATTTTTTTTTGTAAATAATAATGTAAGGTAATAAATTCTTTCTTTATGTAAGATAATAACAATTTCGTTCTTTCTTGAAATTTTTTCCTGTTTCTTAATTTACTAACACCCTATACGTCTTATCTAATGTTTTGATATGTGAATCTCATTTTCTCGACAAGTTAATTTTTTTGAAAATTTGAATTTAAGTTTCCAAATTTGTATTCAGGCTTTATTTTAGATTATAAACAACTTTCTTTCATAAAAATTTTGTGTAAAATAAAAAATAATGGTACTTCTCCCTTGAGGCATTTTCATATTTTCTTAATTTGACAACACCCTGTAGACCGAATCTAAGATTTTTCAGTGTTATTCTCATTTTTAAAAGAAGCAAAAAATTTTATAAACAATGACTCTTTATCGTAAAATGAATAATAAAAATTTTTCTCCTATAGGCAACCCCATCCGTGGACACACTGTATTTGTGTGGGATTCCCACGTCAATTAAATGATTTAATTGACTAATAAATGTAATAAAAAATTAATTGACCGCCATTCAGATCGATAAAATGTGTTCATGTTCAAAATATATTATACGAGTTTAAGCGTGATTTGATTGGACGATAAAGCGGAATAGAAAAGAAGCGAGTGGAGAGAGGAATAGTTTATATACAGGGTGTCTCGAATGAATCCGTGAAGTAGCGGAATTGTTTTGTAGTTATTTGGCGCGCCCTGTATATTGCGAGGGGTTTCGTAACGAACAGTATTAGAATTAAACGCGTTTTATAAGAGAGAAAAAAATATAAGATAAAGTGTTTTGTTAATCCCGGAAAATTCGTCGTAAAGTGATAAAAAAAAATCCAATTTGTATTTCGCCCGAAAGGGCCACTCTGTATATGATATAGTTGAAGATTTTAGGTTTAAGATATGTAAATTTTTAGCGTTGATTTTCGTTGATACTTGTACAGATTGCGACAAATGAAATCTATACATTCATATTTAGGTACAAAAATTTATAAAGATTTGAAAAGGTTTTTCCTTCTATAATAACTTATTCTTTAAAGAAGAAAACGATTTATTAGGAAGACTTTTTTGTCGCGCTCTGTATATGTTAAACATAATTTTAAATTGGTATTGATATTAATTAAACCAATTGTGTATAAAGTGTTGGTGAAAAATGCCGAATTTTTGCATATATAAAAATTATTTAAATTGTCCGCGTAGATTTTTGGAAAATTCGCCAATAAATTAAAATTTTCTATCAACTTCTCGTGAAAATTCGGTAAATAAGTAGCCAATACTCTGTTCTTGTTCGTTTCTTTGTTATTTATTTTAGACAATTACAAATACAGATAATACAGGGTGTCCCGAACTTAATGCGACCGAAAATTTTCTCGCTCATACTCCAGACTTGTTGCATTAACATCCGGACGTCCTGTATATGCAAAAATTTCGTTTTTTACGATAACCAAAACTGTAGATATTAAATAATAAGTAGCGATTAAATTGATCGATTGATTGATTAAAAATTGGTCGGGGTTTGTGCAATTTTAACGGAATTTCGTTATTCCGATATTAGAGGTCGTATTGTATACCTAATATTTTCGAAAATTTCGCGATATACAGAGTGTCCCAATAGGTCGCGGTAAATTGTGTGCGTCCCATTGGGACACCCTGTATATGTTTAAAAAAAACTTTTACCAAGATGTCTCCGATATCGTAGGACAATCGAGAGAATTATTCGAAAAAAAAAACCGTGTAGCATAAATAAGATGAAGAAAAATAAGAAAAAATAAGAAAAAACCGCGTAGAATAGTCTGAAAAAATGAAGTCGAATTTACTTTTATAGTTCTTTTCCGTTTACCGTTTTTGACAAATGGTCGATTTCATAAAGAGATGTAAAAAATAAATTTTCTTTGAACGATTTAGAATGATTTTTGGATGCTCCAGAACCATTTAGAACGGCTCAGGACGATAAAAAACAGTTCAGAATGATTTAGAACCGTCTAGAACAATTTAGAACCGCTCTACAACCATTCGGGACGATTCGTAACAGTTCGGAACTCCTCATGAAGGAATTATGAACTGAATAATACTCTTCATTATGAAATCGGCTCTAAATTTCAATACTCAATTGATCGATTATTTATTAATGATATTATTTATCTTCAAACATCTATCGATTTCGATTGATCGTTGGTGTGTAAATGTAAATGTGCTGGGAAGCCGATTTGTTCTAGTAATTTAGTATAAAATTTTTGAATTTAGACGAATTTGATAGACGAAGAAATGATAGATAAAGAAATGATAGATGAAGTATTGATAAGTAAGAGAAAGAAAACGAAATGTTAATTTACCTTCCCGCACTGAAAAATCCGTCTGACTTACGAAAATTGCCGATGAAACATTTGCGTAAAGTAAAATTATTATACAGGGTGTAACAAAAAAAAAATAATGAGTCATTTGTTGTACCACATATTCCATGCCCTACGGTAAAGAAACATTCTCGTTACACCCTGTATAAATAAACAAAGGTCCGGTCGATGTGAAGCAAAAACTGATTTAATTCAGTTGAATGTTTATTATGGAATAACTGAAGACTTTTGTGCGAGCAATAAGATGAGAAATATATTGGATAAAAAGTGGTTCATCAAAAAACACATTAGTTTTTCTATTTAATATGTAAATCAAGCAGCCCTAAAGGGCCTATAGAAATTGTCTATAGGCATTAATTTAATGAAATTATCGACAAGATTAGGGTTCAAATTGTCTATAGACGGTAATTAAAATAATTATTTTTATTGCGACCAGATTGGGTTTTGTTTCATAGACCAAATGTTATTTTATTTTTATTGCATATTGTTCATAAATGAATTGTTCGTTGGTTTGTTTGTTCTCATAACCAATGTATAAGTGATATTTCGTCTAGTATTTTTTTTGTTTTTATTGATCCTCATTGATTAATAAACCTAGTTCGTAAGGATTGTTTTATTTCATTTCCTTCTTAGGTTTAGAACCATTTAGAACTGTCTAGAATCATTTGGAAACTATACAGAAACTTTTGGAATTGTCCAGGATAAACAAGGGAAGTTCAGAACTATTTAGAATGCTCTAGAACCATTTAGAAACGATCCATAACCATTAGTTTTTATATTGATCTTCGTTGTGTAATAAACAGCTAGTTCGATATATTTTATTTAATTAATTTCTTAGGTTTCTTAGAAATATTAACAACAAATAATTGTATTTTCTAAAATGGCGATTCACAGCCGCCTTTGACTATGTAACCACGAAAATTCTTTTCTTTTCATCTTCTACATCTCTTTCCTCTCTCATTACATCATTTCTTCTTTTTAGTGAACTTCCTAGCCTCCCTGATCAACCTTCCAGTCTCCTCGCTTTCATCGGGCTCCGCCAATCTCTATCCGAAGAATCATCACTGCTCTCATCGTTGATGAACGAATCATCGAAATCGGTAATCATCCTCAAAGGAATCCGAGTAATTCTTCTTCTTAGCGGCGGCTTTTCTCTTCTTCCGGCCTGCGTTGTTACCGCCCACAGCCACATCTTCATCACTGCCATCATTAGAATGGTTAACGGGGGTTGTGGTTGAGGAGCCGGTGGTTTCGAGTGCTTGTACCGTTTCCTGTGGTTCAGAGGTGTGTGAAGTAATAACTATATCTTTTCGATGATACAAAAATTAGGAGGTGTGTGAAGTTGGCACCGCAACTGTAGTTCTCAGTAGTTCTGATTAGAGTTCTGGATTCCTTTTGGATAGTTTAGGAGTTCTTTTGTACAAAAAATAATAGTTCTGGTGTTTTAACACATTATTTTTTTAAATAAAACATGCGGTGCTAACTTCAAACCTAAATTTAGTTTGAAAATTTTTTGAGAGTTCTCAGGAGTTCTGATAGCAGTTCTGAATAGTATTCGACGAGTTCTACAAGAAACTTTAATGGTATTTTGCGAATTTTTCAATAATTAAAAAGTTATGGGTTGTCTGATAATATATCTAATTGATTAACTGTTTATACTTGTTTATTGATGAAATTTATTATTATTATTATTTTTTAATATTCAGGAACTCTAGAACTCATCAAAATACATCAAATAAACTAATCAGAACTATTCCATTGTAAATTTAGGTTTGAAGTTAGCACCGCATGTTTTATTTAAAAAAATAATGTGTTAAAACACCAGAACTATTATTTTTTGTACAAAAGAACTCCTAAACTATCCAAAAGGAATCCAGAACTCTAATCAGAACTACTGAAAACTAAAGTTGCGGTGCCAACTTCACACACCTGTGGTTCAGGTTGGTACGGTAACAACTGTCTCTACGAAAGGACAAGGAGCTGGACTACTTTGTTCGGATTCTTCTTAATCGCTATTATAAGGGTGGCTGAAGTGCCTTTTGTGATTTGGGGTTTCTTCGATGGCAGGTTTCTCCGTACCAGCATCGGACTCTTTTACTCGTTCGGGGATCTCTCGGGGCGCTGATATCGTCATGTTTTTGTATCATCTGAACGGGTGGCTTGATTAAGTGATGTTGTTTCTACGCCAATTTGATCCTTAGAGTTTACATTTGAATCTTTTGTTGTAGAATTATTATCGCTTGTGCTAGGTTCATCGGCGGTTTCGGGGATATTTTCTGGTGTATTTTCTTCCATGTTTAGCGTCATCTAAATTGTATATACGTTTTTTAAACATTAGGGGGAAATTAAGGGTTATTAAAATTAAGAGAAATTTACGCTGCGATTTACCTGTTACAAGTGACAACTATCATATTCTATGAATACATTGCAAGAATGCTCGGCCAATTCGATGTTACTTTTTTGGACGTTCTGACTTCTTTCTTTCGAATCTTTGACGCTTTTCGGCCTTTTTCCGCTGTCCCGTTTTCTTTATCGGCATTTTTTCAGAAGTTTTTCCTTGCAAAATTTCCTTTTTACTCTTCGATTAGTCTGAATCTAACCTCAAATGTCACTGTCACAACTATAAAACATTAAAAAAGAAGATGCAGTGACAATCACGTCTAACTGTCATTACTGTCATATTTGTAAGATGTTTCTGTTCACGGTCGTATATTATAAAGTCTAGAAACTGAATTAACGAGTAGTTTGCTAAATCGACCGGTAGGCATCGATGTTGTAAATGATAGTTTTTGGATTTAACATTTAGCTTGCTAGAGGCTGCCACAATTTAGATAATGTAATAAATATTTACAGAGCTTATATTGAAATAAACTATTAAAAACATCTTCAGTCAGCTGGATAACGCCAATAAATTAAGTTGATTTTCCAGACCTTGTAGTATACGACCGTGCTTCTGTTTATTGGCCTTTTTTTCTTTGCACCGTTTTCGTTTTAGGGATTTTTTTTAAACATAAAAACACAGATAGTAATACTAAATATTACACATATATATTTTGTCTAAAATTATCTACTCACTTTCCTGATCTTTTACCTGTTATAACGATTGAATTAGGCCGATTAAGCGTTTGTGATTGGTCATCCTTTACATAGGGTAATCCCAGATAAAGAGAGGAATATTTGGCAACGCTGTATTTTCCACAAATTCCAGTCTGAATCTGAACTCCTTGTATCTCTTCGAGTGTCTTACTAAATTAACAGTTGTGTTAATTGAATTACCGGAAAAATAGCAGAGGTCTGTATAATTATTACATAATTTATAGGTTTATTTAGGTGTTAAATAGTTAAAATATCGATAAGTATTGTTTTTATTAAATCGGCAATATCGTGGAAAGGGCCAAATAAAACACCAATTATCTTTTATATACCGAAATAAATGTTTATTTTAAATCACTTTTACTATAATTGAAAGACACTTCTGAACTATCCAAAGACTAAAAGAAGGAAATCAATTTTTTTTAAATATTTTCGTTAGTAAATTCTCTCATAAAAATGGCGACTCGGTCGGTAATTAAAAAAAAAAGAAACCAAATATCGAGTCACGTACAGTTTTGCTTATAATGCAAACTAAACAGGAAGATGTATTTTTGCTTAATAAACTATATCTTTATTTTCAACAATAAGTATATCGATTATTTCGTTTATTGATGTTGATCGTTAAATATTCGGTGAAGCACCGGCAGACATGTTGCTTTTTTATTAGAAAATTCTATTTTTATGTTATTTTCCCAATACTTTTGCGCCACAGCCACGTTTATGATAGGGAAAAATCATTTTGTAGCCGGTCTAGCATGCGGTCTACCACAATTTTTTTTTAATTATTTTGTTAAATTGTTATTAAATTCATTTTTATTATTAATTATTAATAATTATTCTTCATTTATTTATTGTATTCTCAAATAATATAAAATTTAAGTTTTTGATTTTTAAATGACTTTTATTCAAAAAAATTGTTATGCAAGATATTGCAAATAATATGTTTTCGAAAAAAATGGGGTTACTATTTAAAAATCGTCAATGACGTCACTGACCAAGAATGGTAAGTGGAGGAAACTTAAATTCTTTTTGAAAAATTGCGCATTTAGTAAACAAAATTGACCTGTCCGAGCGTTTTTTCGAAAAACCAACCAACTTCATTATAATGAATTTATTTCTTTCATTTGTTACATTCTGTATATTTATAGAAAATCCCGAAATACGTCAAATTTTAATTATAATTTAACATTTCTCAACGTCAAAATGTGGTCTCTTCTGTGGAGAATAAAGGTCTCTTTATTCTTTATCCAAAACTGTTATTATTTTCATTTTTTTTTTCAAAGATTAACATAAAAAATTATATCATCTGATGGCTTCAGTTCGTTATAATTCACTCAGTATATAATACCTAATTGTTCACAATGTAAAAAAAATATGAATCTCCTCACCAAAACTGTTATTTTAATGCATTTCTGTTAATCTAACAACTTTTCTTAATGCAATCAATCAAATTCAAACAGAAAATTATAACACTGAGAATTACTCTCACACAGTTTTACATAGTTACAAACCAATTTGCTAAGGCCTTTTAAACAGACTAGTCTTATTATTAAGGCTAAAATGGGCAATATGATTTAATATTTTTAATGTTAATTTTTGAATTAAATGAAATATTTGAAATAAACTGGAAGTTATTCGAAGGGGTGTTGAAGGTAGTGTTCACAATTTGACATTGAGAAATGTTAAATTATAATTAAAATTAAACGTGTTTCGGGATTTTTTATAAATATCTACAGTAAGCGGAATAATGAATTTACTCCATTTGGCGTTTACACCCTGTATGTTTTAAATTGTTATTGGAACATTTGAACTTTTACTACACTAATATGGATATTTATTTGGAAAATCGGTTTTTAAAAAATTTTATAATAAAATTTTCACATTGTATTTAATGTTTACAATTGAGTGATTAGACAAGGAAATAATGACAATTTCTGCTAATCTACCAATATAAGCTTCTAGCTAAAAGAAAATGCAACGGTAACAAAGATAACATTGAAGAATGCATTTGTGCATTAATTATGCATTCAGTTCGATCGGCGAATTAAAAACACGTTGGATAATATTATTTGAATGATTCGAATTAGTTCGAGACTAAAACTAGACTAAACATTTTAAAAATCTAATCCTACGTAGTCGACTTCTATTCCTTTTCTCAAATTCCTAAAACAGATAAATAAATAAATACAATTTAACAGATAAAACATTATATTAGTAAACATTATATTAGATAACATTATTAGTACACTTAAAAAGTAGCTCTCTGGTTGGTAATTTTTATATTAAACATTTTACTTTAAAAATTTTTATATTAAATATCTTATTTTTATATTAAAATTTGTTAAATTCTGTGTATGTGACTAGCTTGGATTTTTTAATAATTAAGATATACAGGGTGAGTCACGCTCAGCGGGACGAACACAATTGTGGGAAAACTGGTAAAAGTGTTCTAAATTATAATAGATTCTATATTATTATTTCTATATTATTATTTTTATCTATATCATAGAGATCATTTTAGATCATAGATCATTTTATCGTTCTATATTATTATATTTTTGCGAATTATCTATGAAGTCAATAATAATTAAGATATACAGGGTGAGTCACGCTCAGCGGGACGAACACAATTGTGGGAAAACTGGTAAAAGTGTTATAAATTATTATAGACAGTTCTAAATGGTTATGATGCGTTCTAAATGATTCTGGACAGTTCTAAATGGTTCTAAAGGGTTCATAGACAGTTCTGAGCAATTCTGGACAGTTCTAAATAATTATAGAGAATTCTAAACGGTTCTAGAAAGTACTAAATAGTTCTGGAGCCTTTTAAATGGTTCTAGACAGTTCTAAATGAATCTGGAGCGTTCTACAATGATTTTAGACGGTTCTAAATCATTCTGGAAAGTTCTAAATAATGGGGCATCATTCTAAACGACTCTAAAAAGTTCTAAATGGTTCTAAACTGGAATCTGAATCGTCCTGAGCTGTTTTGAATCGTCCTATAATTATCAATAAAGACAATAATTAAGATAATCAGACCAATATATACAGAATTTTTCAAATTGAATTAATTTTTTATTTTAATTTTTTTTCGAATTAATCAGAAGAATTTTTTTAAATTCTTACCCTTCATTTTAAAATTAGGCATATGCGACATAAACATAACTATACAGGTTGTCCCGAGTATGAGAAAAAAAATAAAAAGTAATGAACATTTAAATGGGACACACTATATTATGTTTTATTGCATTTTTTTTAAATCTACTTTATCCCTTTGTTATATATCCTTTTCGTCTCTTCTTTCTAAACTAATCAATTACAATTAATATTAATTATAATAATTATTAATATCGTATAATAATTAATTATTAATTACGAAAAACGCCGAAATGTTTATTGAAAAATCGCAATATAAAATATTCAGTTTGCATGTTATAGTAATAAATTACGTTCGATATTTTAATAAAATTTGCACCGAAATAATGATTTAAATTAACGTTTAGTAAATAAATTATAAGAAATTTTGCTATAGAATAAAATACAAATATGCTCGATAACTATTTTAAACGTGACAACACCGTAATTATTCTACCTCTCCCTCTACACCCCTCTCTCTATCTCTATCTCTACCTATCCCCTTATTCTACCTCTTCCTAACCCTTTTCTACCCATTTATACCCCTCCCCGATTCCATCTACAATTTTACCCTTTTAAACTCTTTCTACCCTTAGCATATTTTGTACTTATTATTTTATCGAAAGAATCAATTTACTGAGAAATGTCACTCTTGTAATTTCAGTTGATCGATAGTAGTACCTGCGAAAATGTCTTCAGAAAATTCTAGCGGTCTCTTTTACATGGGGAAGATTATCAATTTCAAGGTTCCCAGTTCCATGTTTCTTCAAAAAGATCCTTGGGAACAGCGCGAAATTCTCACGAAAAATCCCGAATACGATGAGAACGACATTCTGACGATGTGTACATTTTACTTTACGCGAGGAACAAATAACCTCGAAAAAATAATGAGAACGAGCAACGAGAGTGACCGGCGAGTCTTGGATAAATTAATCAAGAGATATTCTTTAGTATCTAAAGGGTATCATGCAACAACGATGAATTTATCGAGGATCGCTAAATATTTTCCAGAACAATCGGTCTTATGTTTGGATAAAATGCCGGCTGGAGACGTGCGTAGACCAATATCATTGGTTGAAATGGGCGAATTGCTAGGAGTTTCCTCTTTTCCCCAAACTCTAACGACCACTACAATACTGAGCATCATTCCTCATGATGAGAATCTCATACATCCTGTTGATGCAAACAAAATTTACATGATTGTATTGGCCTATGCGGCGCAGGAAACGCCTGTAATAAACCCTGCAATGGCTTCGAAAAGTTTTTCTGAACGCTTTTATTACAATCGTACTTTTGCTGTGGCTTTATACAAAAGCAAATTGTTCACGGATGAAGAAAGATTCGAAATTGCGAGCAAGATTAAGGGAGTTTTCTACGTTGAAAATGGTTCGTTGAGGCTTCTAGATCATATAAATAAAGTTTATGACTGTTGCATGTCCTATTTAAAGGCTAAACATGTCGTAGTCTTCGTGCCAATTACTAATTATAGCAGATGTAAATGTTAATTGATATATGAATTAATATATGTAGATATACATATAAGATTTGTATTTTATTTGGTAGATATGTGACTTTAAAATTCAATAAAAAGTAATGGAAAAAAATCTTTTTTTTAGTCAATTCCTTTAAGGTACTTAGGTTAACAAAGAATAAAATTTAAACTGTTAAAATATTAAATTAAATCCGCTTTAAAATTACCCTAAAAACTGGGACTAGTTGTTCTTCAGAAATCGCTTTAAAAACATCCCTTAAACTGATTCAATATAGCTCTAAAACCGGTTTAATAACCGATCTAATTGCTTTTCAAAAATCGCTCTAAAACTAATTCAAAACCGCCATAAAACTGCTTTCAATATCACCCCAAAAATGTTTAAAATTTGGTATAATTGCTCTATAAAAACCGCTGTAAAATCGCCATAAATCCGCTTTAAAACCGCCCTAAAAATTGATCTATTTTTTACCTTTTTTTTTGTTAATTTTGTGAGTGTTATTATTATTAATTCCTAAATTGAAATTTCCTTCGCGACATCTAAATAATAATTATATTTTCAAATGTTTTCGTCATTTTTTGTTTTAACATACGCGTACACCTTGTACGGGCCTCAATAGAAATAAACAATACCTATCAGTACTTTTTCCAGTTTTTTAATACTTTTTTTAATATATTATCATCTTTTAAATATCGTTAAATTTAATTTCCATCTTAGATTTATTAGAAATTAAAGTAACAATTTTATCAATTATTTTACTTGTCTACAAATGATATTGGCATCTGAATTTAAGATTGCAGCGCCATCGTGGTAAAAAACGGAACCTTCGTAACAGGCATTCATTCGTTTATTATTATTTGTTTTAACGTGTGAATTGGGAATTTGAAAGTGATTTTTTAGTGTTATAACTTAATTTCTTTCGAACAATGTTTATATTAAAAGACAATTTATTTCAGTTTAAGTAGTTTTTAAGTTGTTAAATTTACTGTCAATACAAAATCTGGTAAGCAATCTGATTTGTATATAAGATTGTATTATGTTTGGTTATATATTTTTTGTCGTTTCTTTCAATTAAATTATGAAATATGGTGTATTCAAATTACTCAATGACTTAAAAATTATACTTTTATTTATTCTATTTATTAATAATCTATTTTTTTTTATTTATAATTTTTCATTTTTAGAAAAATGGCTCGATTAAGTATAATCGACTACATGGCGTACATTGAAGGGACAGTTTCTTCAAGATGTGTGGTAGAGGGCGAAGAAGTTTTAAATGCAGGACACATAATTTTATGTGGAAAATTTAATTTGCTGACTTCTGATCTTATTAAAATCTGTGCTTTGTGTCTACAAACTAGCGCACTTAATGGAGAACCTCATCAAATATCCGGAGAACTTTCACTTACAAGAAACAGAGTCAGTATTAAAAGCATGACATGACATGTTCTTGTAAGGCTGGGAAGAGTGGTAGATGTAAACATATCTCGGCTGTGTTAATTAAATGTACTAAATTAATTAAATGTACAGAAATGATTAAATATGATTTTTATATTTATGTCTAGTTCGTTTTCTGGTTTTTGCCTTTTGTTTTAGGGAGAGTCCAGAAGAATTCGAGATCATTTCCCAAACCGATTTGAAGTGTGTTTGGGATAAACGAAAAAATCTTGCTAAAAGGTTGTAAAAAGTAATATCATTGTGGATAATGATAAAATGTACAATTTTTTTACAAACAACCTTCCAGATTCTGCACTTGCTAAACACATCAGGTACTATTCTTTTTTAACATATTCAGGAATTGATAATGTCATTTATTTACTTATTTTCAGAAAGGGAAGAAGGGATTTGTGTAAGATAACACAAGTAGAGGCGACAAGCGTTGTTGATGATCGTCTCACGGCGATTTTAGATAACGCTTATCAATCTATATTGATGTTTGAAACGTACAGTATTCCAACAAATATGAAGAAATGCTGTGAACGTATTTTCAAACAATTCTTCGAAGATCATCCAGATACGATAATTGCCATCGAACAAAAATCTTATGAATGGGTTACACAAAGAAAATACAGAGTTACAGGTATTAAAGATTATGTCCATTTATTGATATACATTATATAAACTAATTACAATTTTATTACATTTCATTTGTATACAGGATCGAGAATATACGAGCTTTATACATATTCGAGGGATGAATGGGATAAAAAGGCCACAAAATATTTTTACCAATCCGCTTTTACAAATAAATATGTAAAACATGGCTTGCACATGAAAATTACGCCTTGGATTTATTTGTGAAAAAAATCAGGGCATTCCTGTTATAAAAGCGGTTTGGTAATATCCCATTGCAATCCCTGGTTGGGTTATTCACCAGATTCAGTAATTTTTCTGGGAACCAGACCATCAGCACTTTAAGAAATAAAATGTCTATATGAAGGTATTTATTAGTACAAAAATACTATTAAATTATCTACATGTTCTTATTAATTATATTTATTTTTTAGGTGCTACCACAACAATAAGTCAGGTTATCAAGAAGGCTAAATACTTATCTAAACAACAAAATACATACATTTTAAAAAGGAAACATAAATACTATGGTCAAGTGCAGTTGGACATGTTCCTTTTAAATTTACCCGTTATATGCATCATTTGATAAAAGCCTACAAATTATTATGGTTCCTTTTGATTACAATTTTGCAAGGAGTATGATAACTAAAGTAAAAACAAACTACTGCGAAAAAATGCTTCACATCGTTTGTTCCATTTAGTATTACTTAATGGTAAAGTATTAATTCTATATAATATTACAACTAATTTTGATAAAATATTTTATTCAGATCGAGAGCTGTTACATTTTTTTCTACTAGAAATTATTCTTCGGGTATCGACAAGGGATTTTCATAAAACGCTTCACATCGCTTGTTCTGTTTAGTATTACTCCAATAATGGTAAAGTATTAATTCTATATAATATTACAACTAATTTTGATAAATTATTTTTTTTAGATCGAGAGCTGTTACATTTTTTTCTACCAGAAATTATTCTTCGGGTATCGACAAGGGATTTTCATAAAACGCTTCACATCGCTTGTTCTGTTTAGTATTACTCCAATAATGGTAAAGTATTAATTCTATATAATATTACAACTAATTTTGATAAATTATTTTATTCAGATCGAGAGCTGTTACATTTTTTTCTACCAGAAATTATTCTTCGGGTATCGACGAGGGATTTTCATAAAACGCTTCAGTTCTGTTTAGTATTACTCCAATAAAGGTAAAGTATTAATTCTATATAATATTACAACTAATTTTGATAAATTATTATTATTTTTTAGATCGAGAGCTGTTACATTTTTTTCTACCAGAAGTCATTCTTCAAGTATCGCCATGTGGTTTTAGGGTTTTTTTGAGTTAGTTTACATGAATCTATTATCTGCTATTTGGATGCTTATCTGGATTTGATAAATTAGTAATACTGCAAGCAATTATAAAAATATCTTGAATTTTGGACACCAAGGACCATTGCATTTTCCCACTTAAAATTTTAAATATTTTAATGCGTTGATTTGTCCTTTCAATGTGCACTCGGGCAGCTGCAATTTTTGAATTTAAAATGGCTTCTTCGGAAAATAATTGTTTTTTATTCCTTAAAAAAGGTGGTCTAATTAATTTAATTTTAAAGGATTCACAAATGTCATCAATTAAAAAACCTTTATCCACCATAATGGCGTCTTTGTTGCTTTCTTTCAGGATATACACCGGTCATAAACTTAATTGTTGTACTCGACTTATAATGTGAATAAAATTTTATTCTACAGCAAAGGCATTTTGGCGTTTGGACATTTATTTCTGTACAATCCAGAATCACCCTTACATCTTCAAATTGATTAAAACATAGGGGCATGTTTCTTTTAATTTCCGAAGAATCGGGGAACCTTATACAGGGCTTTAAGACTGCACTTAATATAGGCAACATTTCAAAAATATATTTTTTACATAATTCGGGGGAAATAGCAAACAATACTGACAACGTTACATAAGAAAGATCACTCTTTAATTTTGTCATGACTAAAACTATTCGTTCTTTTATTTGTAATCGATGTGATCTTTGATCGGAATGATTTAGTTGTACAGCTTGGACAATTGTGTCCAAAAGTTGAAAACTATTTATGCCCGTGAAACTATTGAGAATATTTTCTGTTGTTAACAAATCGCTAAGGGCGTAAATTTTTGGAAAATTAACCCGAGTTCCAAATTCTTTAAAAGTTTTTGGCCCTTCAAAATTTGGTTGTTCCTGGAGTAGCAATACAAGGCTCTCAGCTGCTTCTAATTCGTCACGTGAATGCTGGACATCTTGTTGTTCCTCTTCCTGTTCAGTAACGCATTACTATGAATCTGTGCTCTAAGACGCATTTCTTTTCTCTAATCGCAATGCTCTTTCCGAAACCTCAGGCAAAGTTTCAGCAGTTCCAATCGTAGATGTAGATTTTTAGATGGAACAGCACCCGGTTTAAGTTTTCGTCTACTTTTTGTAGCAGCTCCTAAAATACATTTATAATCGTTATTTCAATTTTGTGGCAATTTGTATGCAAGTAGGGAATATATGTATACCTACTACATTATGTTTAAATGCTACAATACGTCAAAAACGTGTATAATTTGAAGAATAACCAGTGTAATTGGCCCGAAAAATGAAAATTACCTCATACAATATATTACATATTACTAACCTCTTGGAAAAAAATCACTTTCTATGAAATGTTTCGAGCAAACCAACATATTTTTAGTGACGGGTTTGCCAATTTTTGCTTTCATTATCCACGCATCACGCTGGCACATCCACGATTCTCCCAACGATGACTTGATTTTAACTTTGTCTTTTCCTGGTTTAGAAAATACATGACGAACATTGTGGCACAGAACAATAACCGTGACTCATTTTGTTTTGAAAAAAAAAACAGATTTATAAAAGCGACGAAACCGACAATAAAGACAAACACGAGAGAAAACAAAACAAAAACAGAACGAACGTAATGGATGCAAAACCAAAACAATGGT